TAATAAATATATAATGCCTCAACAAATTTGTTGTGTGTTGAGTGAATTTGCAATAAATTATTACACATTTGCATAATTTAATTTGCATCCTTATAATCATTTAAAATCATTCTAAATATAATTCTAAAACTTTTCAAATCATCACAATTGGAGGGGTAGATATGATTTTTCATTTTGTTGACTTCTAATATGACTTAAATAATATAAGGGGCTAACAAAGGTTAATAATTATAAGGTTGACTAATTTTGGCTCTAACTTATAAGAAATAATTTGTCTAAATAATCTTAATAATTACATGTGATCAAGCTCAAATAAAAAGAAATAAGTGAAGTTTTAAAATCTTTAATTCAATAGTGAACACTTTATAAAAAATAATTAGGTTCAAAACTCACATGACTTACTTTCTATCTAATTAAGTTATAATTAGGCTTAATTATAAATTATACAAGAGAAATAAAAATATTATATAAGTTTTTTTAAACAAAATGATGTTAATCTAAATAATTAAATGTCAACTTAACTTAAAATATTGGTAAAAGGCATAATTTTTTTAAAATAATACATAAGAATTATTCATTTCACTCCAAACTTAATTTTGCATTGTCCTTAATATAGAAATAAAATAAAATAAAGATAGGTAATAGTTTAATAATATTAAAAGATTCATGGATGAAAAATTATGATTGAAATGATAAAAAGCATAAGACTAAAAATTAAAGAAAATAAAAAGTTTACTAGAAGTTTATAATATGAAGTTCCAATACTTGGAACCTGCATTGCACATGTCAAAACCACATTAATAAAATTAAAAAAAAATCAAAGAAGAATCTAAAAAAATAACTTTAAAATCAAAAGAATAAAAAAATTAAAAAGAATCAAAGAATTAAAGAAGGTTGAAAATTTTTACTTTTTATTTCTTTTCTTGAAAAGCAAAAATAGAAAAATAAAATCTAACAAAATATATCAAAAAAAATGTTTTTTTACTTATTAATTAAAAAGCAAAAATTGAAAAAAATTGAAATGGAAAATTGTAAGGAATCATTTATACCTATGTTATCTAACTTGATTGAGAGAGACATATAAGCTAATTGACCAAATAAAGTATAAAGGCTTGATAAATTTCTTTTTATATTTGACGGTTGGTCAACCTCATATCATGTTTAATGTGTACATATGTGCTAAGTATTAGTCATCACATAAAGAACCTCATTTTATTATGACTATATAGATTCTTAAATACTTAAAAGGAACTATGAATATTGGGTTGTTGTATTCTTGTGACGTGTCTCTTGATTTAGAGAGTTATTTTGATTTTGACTTTGTTTGGTGTAAGCTTGAAAAAAAAAAAAGTACTAGTGATTTTATCATATTTTTGGAAGTAGTTTAATGTGATGGACTAATAACAAATAAGTTTGTGTTACTTTATTCACAATCGAGGCTAAGTACATAATAACTAGTAGTTGTTATGTGTGCATTTATTTAAAAATTTGTTGTCATCATCAAATAGGGGGAGATTGAAACATCATGCGACTAGGTTAGACCTTGTCATTAGACAAGCTAGTCCTCCATGTACTAAATGATTTACCCTGCTATCAGACGGTCTACTAAGTTATGTCACTAGATGCACTTGTTGAATAAGCTCATTAGACGTGCTACTAATAGACAAACTTAATGGACAAAATTAGTAGATGTGTTCAATGGACAAATTGTTGAGTTAGGACTTAGTTACTAAACATGCTTTTGGGAGTCAACTAATTAAGTCTTCAAACGAGTTGCTAGTCAACTACTAGACAAGCTACTTAGAACCAAACAAGCTACTTAGAGAGAGGAGATGTTGGGAGTTAGCAATTATCAATGGATGACCTCATCAAATGAGCTAAACTTAAACGACTTACCGTTAATTGATACGTGATAAACAAAATTCTCTTGTCACGTAAATGTCGTACAAGAATTTGCATTAAACGTAATACAGTGTTAGGATTGACCTAGGTCATGTCCTTAAAGATAATTTGTTAGTTTTATTTAAATCTTAATTCTCACTTGTCAAGTGTTAGGAATGTAGCTGGAGAATTATGATGTGAAAACAGTAAAATGCAAAAAATTAAACTAGCACTAGTAAAATGAAAATATTTTATGATAGTAATATTAGACTTTTTTATGAGAAGCGACATAAAAAGTTAGTTATACTTTCTATGTTAATTATTAAATATTCAATATAATAAGCACTTACTATGTTCGTTCTTAACATAATGGTCATAAAATGTCATGCATCATTTTTTTATATAGTCATATTACTCATGAACATTTTATCAAACAATTCCAATATAACAACAAATCTTAAAAAAGTTAAACACAAACATCATCCATATGAAAACATAATTAAACATAAAATGTAGAGAGTACTCACTTAAGTTGGATGAAGAATCATTTACAAGAGAAAAAATTTACAATAACAATTGTAATCTAAGATACATTAGAACATTCCTTTAAACCAAACCATGAAATACAAAGTAATAGAGAAAAATGAGATAATGCTTCTAAATATTACTTTTATTGTAAATGATGAAGAAGTAAGATTGTGGGAAGTGTTGGTGCAAGCATAATAAAAACAAAAAATGGATGAATGTGATAAGGAGACAATAAGACAAAAGAAATAAGAAATTGGGTGGAATTCTTTGGTGGACAAGGGAAAAAAATGGAAAATAAGGAAGACGAAGAGAATAAATCGAATATGAACAACTTAAATATGGACACTTTTTATGACAGTTTATTTTGAATCAACATAGAAGGTGCCTCATATTTAAGATTGATAAAGTCATTTTCTGTGTTAGTTCAAAATTGAACCGTCATAATAAGTACTTATTATGATGGTTTAAAATTGAACTGACATGAAAAGAGCCAAATTTTGCAATTCACAAAATTACTTACTATGATGGTTCAAAAATAAATCAATATAGAAAGTACTAATGATGATGGTTCAATTTTAAAACAACATAAAAGGTTAATTATTATGTTACTTCAAAACTGTAAATTAGAACCGGCATAATTAAGTCATCATAAAATATTGTTTTGGTGCTAGTGTAATCTCTTAGTAAAAGTAGTAAACTAATATAAGAAAAAAGTAAATAAAAGTTTGTAAATGAAAACATCATAAACCTAAACTAAGAAAGTATTAAAGAAAAGTTATAAAGTGCGGTGAATGACAAAAGAAAAGCATGAAACCTATTCTATAAAACTTGTAAATAAATTATAGTAAAGAATTGTAGTAAATCTAAGTTCTACAAAACTTTAATGAACTAAAAGCTATAAAGAAACCTTGTGCACAAAATTCAAAAGTAGGAAACAAAGTCAACATAAAATTGTAATGAAAAAACAATAAAGGACTAATGTGAAAACAATAAGAAAATTAGGTTGAATCTCCAATCATCACTTATTCATATGATTATCGTAGATTTCTAGAATTTGCCTTATGAGTACAATAGAAAATTCACAAAAGCTTCAAATAATTATAATTCAATATAAGTAAAGAAAATATAACACAAACTTCAAATCAAGTAATCACTTAAGCTTAGAAGTTGAATTGTGATGTAAAAAAGACATTCAATCAAATAATCTCAATTACATTGATTGTAATAGATTAAAATAAGTTAGAATCATTAAAAATAAAATCTAAACCATAGGGAAACAAGTTTTAATCAACGTTTCAACCATAAAAATGGATTAGCATATGATTGAGGTATATATAACTGATAAAACATCAAAATAGTAAAAGAAATATAAGAAAAGTGGAAGGAGAAGATGAGAAATGACAATTTAAATGCAAGAAGTAAAGAGAGAAAAAACAAATATGATCCAAAGTAACTGGAATTGATAAATTTCAAGGCATTATTTGTAGAAGAAATTTAAGAAATAGATTTAAAAGTCAAGCACAAGAGAAAAAACTAAAGAAAAAATGGATTATAAAACTTCAAATTCAAGAAATAAAAACTTATCATATGAATTTTGACATTTTAAAGCCCATTTATATAATAATAAACGTGTACAAAGCACGTAAGGCCCATAAAAAACTTATAATTATATAATAAAACTTAAATATTTTTTTGAAAAATTGAGGTTTTACGATAAATTCACTTAGTGATTTTGTTGTTAAATTACGTACAAAAAGTCAACAATTCACTCAACATATTGTTTTATTATGGAATGAGCTCTCTCATTAATATTTGCTAAGTGAATTCTCTTATGCATTGAGTGAATTTCCCATGATAAAACTTTATATTTTTCTTTGATTTAACATTCTTGCCAAAATAAACAAATAATTTAGTTAAAATGTATAATTTAGATAATAAATTATACACAAAAATGATTTTTCTTTTTATAAAACTATGTTAAAATTAATAATTAATTAAAGAAATATACTAAATATCGATAAAACATACTAATAAAATTATTGATAAAATGTGTTCATCAATATGTCATGAGTTGATTCAATATCAAATGCTTCTATAGGTCAACAATGTGGTATAATACTCTCTTACTCTATGACATTAGGTGTTCATGTTTTTGGATTTGATGTTGCTAACAACACAAGATTTTACATAAAATTCTCCTTAAGATTATATCAATGTAAATAATCAAATTTTTCTCTCGATATAGAACTACATTGTCTAATGGATAAACCTAGGATAACCAATGCGTGAAACTAAACAAAAAAATATAATTTTTAATGCGTGAAACTAAAAAAAAAAAAAAAATTTTAAAAATTTATTGAGTTCATATTAAAAAATCAGTTAAATTAGTTAAATGTTAATAAGTCATTATATTCAAAATTATTTTTCTATAAATATAATGGCTTCTGATTCTTTTTTAATATTCAATCATATATTACATCTTCTGAAAAAAAATAAAATTTATAACATTATTACTTTGTACAAAGGCTAATTTTCATATTTTACTTGAATGAGAAAAGTTTTTTGAAACCTTTCCTCGCTAGTTAATCTAAATGAGAATTTTTTTAGTAAGAAATGTTTAGTTACAAGATTATATTATATTGTTCACCATTTTATTCTGTTTTAACTCATCTTAAAGGTAGTTAGTGTGGTTAGGTTAAATTCTTGAAAAGTAGAACCAACTCTTAAGAAAAGGGATAAACATTAAAATTATATATTATTTAAAAAAATAAAAAAATTACAAATTATAATTTAATTTTAAAAATAAATTAAAAATTTGAGGAGAGGGAGAATGACCCTAAAGTCCCTCTCTTGCCTTCACCCTAAAGGGTGATTAATTTTACTTATAAAAATATAATTGGTTGTGTGATAAAAATTTATGATATTATAATATTCAAGATCAATATATCATCTAAATAATATGACTAGACTAGTTAATTGATCTAATGACTAAGATTTATGTTAATTTTGTGATAAGAGTTGATATCATATTCCTATTGTTATAAATATTTATAATTTTTCTTTGGTTAGTAAGATAAATTTTGACATGTTATAAAAAAAAACTTATTTATATCCAATGAAAAAAAAGTCAATGTTTAAAAATTATAATGAAATAAATGATTTTTTTTTCACCATCTCATTATGTTATTACTTATTTTGACAATTTAAATATTAATTAATTTTTTCACCAGATTTTATTTTTTAATTAAATTCTATTAATTTTTAAACCAAACAAATATTAACGTGCTCGAAAAATATTTAACAATTTTTTTAGTTGCTGCATAAATAAATTTTAAAACAAGCATTATTTCGTTATGAAATATTATAATAACTTGTTACTTAATCGTTTGATAACTAGCTCTTCACCTCCACTTTCTTCCATTGCGATTCACAGAAAACACCACCAACAAAAAACAATCATCATTGTCACTACCAAAAATATTAATAAAAAATTAAAAACAAAATTTCAAACCCTCGACAGCACTTGAGACCTTTCTTCTTGTTCTTGGTTTCTCTCTCTTACTTTCCCACATTTTCTCACCCTTTCCGTCAAAGTTTGCAAATTTTCTTCTCAGGTATGCCTCTACCTTCCTCTTACTATTAATCTTAACTATCTTGCAATTTCCCCATTATTATTATTATTGTTATTGCCTTTAGTTTTTACAAACCCCCTTTGTTCCGATTCGCGGAATTGTAGTAAAAACCCCTAGTTTCGCGGAATTGTGAATCAAAAACACCCTCTTTGACTTTAGAAACACAAAAACCCTAGCCATTTTCTCACATCAGCCATCCAGCCGCCGCCTCCTCACAAACACACCACCGGAGACGGTCAGAAGAGATGTGTCAGAGAGAGAGAAGCACCAAATGAGGGCACAGGCGACACATTTACGCTGAACGGCGCTGTTTCTAAGGCCCCGTCGCTGCCAGGGTCGGTTGCGCCACGGCCTGGGTTGAAGACAGTTCAGCAACACAGATTTGATTTGATACTTAGGGTCATTTCTTAATTGAATGATGCAGTTTAGCTATTAGAGGTACTTGTAGTGGTTTGATGCTGAGGGCAGTATGCTGGTTATAATTGGGGGAGATGCAAAGGTATCATGCTGGCAGCTGCGCTAGTGCAGTTAATAACACTGCAATTGGTGGGTCATCCACTAGGGACATTGCAAGAACCGATTCGTCTTCCTTGCCAGCTAACTTTCCTGTGAGTTCAAGGTAAACATGCTTTCTGCCAACATTTCTTTGCTCAAAATGTTATTACCTATTTTTTCTTCTAAGATGGTGTTACTGTAGCACTTGTGATTAAGGTGCTTCATATTCCAAATGATTGTGGTTGTGATACACCTTCTGTTGCTTCAATCCCTGGTAGCTAGCTGTCAGGTTACTTTATTGCAACAGTCATTGATTTTACCGGATGTCATTTTGAAACCTGCGAAACTACCCCGGAACTGGGTCATTTATATTTTTGACTCGAGTAATCACAATAATGTAGTTTGTGGTCTTCATTTCTTTTCTTAAGCATTTAAATGCTTGAGAGATATGCATGGAGTTTTATCTGTTATAACCAACTAAACATTTTTTCCTTTTATGTTCTTTTCTATTAATATAACTACTTCTGATGCTTTGGTTGGATGGTCAGCTGAGCAAGAATTATTAAATTTCATTTCCACAGTAGGAATAATGAGCCACTAGCGATGACCATAATATTTGTTATAAGAAAATTGGCATATACAAAGTTGAGAAGCATCATCCGCTTCTTGATTGTGGTTTATGCTTGAAGCCTTTTTTGATTTTCTATCCTAATATATTTAGAGATTGTTATACTATAATTTGTAGGAACTCTTCAAATATTCATCCTTGTGGTTGTAGTGACTAATAAGTGAAGTAAGTGTTTTGGTGCTTATGCAGGATTTTTCCACCCCTGAATTTTAGTTTTTTTTTTTTTTCTTATACCGAGTAAATATTTTATTTTATATCATAGGGACCTCTCCAAATCTACGAGCCTAGCTTTCAAAAAGCATTGAAGTTGGAAACATAATGTTACTGTCATGACATAAGCTAGATGGCTGCATAATGTTTTATCAGGAAAAAAAACTCAAAAATAGCCACCACCAGCTAATACACAAAACTGAAATATCTATTGTGTTACTGTTTTAAGATTGAAATACACAAAGTAGTTTTGAACTTCCAAATTAGGAGTTATAATTAAATAATTTTCATATAAAATTAGAGAATGATAACAGTAAATCTGCAGAAGTAGGTATGATGTTTCTGTCTTTTCTTTTACTCATGTTTTGTATTAAGTTTTATCTGCTCGCTTATCTTTTAAATAATCAAAATCTTTGTCATATATTTTTTTGTTACTGATGTTGCTAAACCATCACATCATAGTTTGCAAGCTGTTTTTAAATGATAGAATATATTTTTCAAATTAATTTTTAAATGATAGAAGATACGTAGTTTTATTTCTTAATGTTTTTTAACTCATTTCTTTTTGAAGTCTTGGTACTTAATATGGCATTGGTGTGATGTGATACAGAGACGACGATATGAGAAGTTCTTTCAAAATTCAGCCATTCCATGATACATTACCATGAATTCTTTTCTTAAAATACTTTATTATGCACATAAGAAATATTTAGATGTTTCTCATTGATTAATGATTATATTAGTGGAGTATGATCATAATTTAAAAGAAAAATATTTTTAATACACCATAATTATATATATCTTTCACTTATCCATATCAGAATATATGTCTCTCCAATGAGAATGTCACAAGAATTACATATTTTCCCCTAACTTGAGTAAGTGTGTAAAAGAGAATCCTTAGTTCCATTCAAAAGAATATTTGGTCTATATAATTGTCTACTTTTAGTCCTATATTCTGTTGATTCTCCAAAATATAATGGTATATTATTATTTGTTCGGATAAATCAGTTTCTTTGTGCTGTTAATCATTTTAACTTTAAACACAATGTTCCTTTCTTTTGCAGGCGACAACAACTATTAACCCCATACAAGTTGAAGTGTGATAAAGAACCTCTGAACTCTAGGTAGTTCCTGCTTGTAAGAGAACTTGTTTTCAAATTGTTGCTCACTTTTGTTGGTCCATGAATAAGAAACACTTTAAGTTTTTCTGAAGGAAAATTTGCTTGTACACTGCTAATATTCCAAAAATATTGTTGATAGACTGTCTCAATTCCCTTGATCCTTAGTGTCTGTTTTGGTTGTTTTTTTATTCAATCAATGGTATTAAGATTGTGATGTTTTCATTCTGGTAATATTAACTTTTATTTTTTGCTTTAACTTTTTTTATTGTTTAGTTGTACAAATTGTAAATGTCTTTGTTTAATCTCAGGCTTGGTCCCCCAGATTTCCACCCCCAAACACCAAATTGCCCTGAAGAGACTCTGACCAGAGAATATTTGCAATCTGGATACAGGGACACAGTTGAAGGGCTTGAGGTGCATTTTTGAAACTTCTGCATTATCAAATGGATGTTGTAAAGTAGCTATTTAACTATTTGAAATGATTAAAATGTAACACTAATGATGAATAGATCTGGTTTGATGCTCAGCTGTCTCAGATGCCTCTATCACCTTTGTATTTAGATTTATTTAATCATTGTGTTTCTATCTGTCCTAGCTTCGGTCAATGTGAATACTTATGGATATTTTCTTTCAAATTTCTTATTGTATCCCCTACTGATCATGATGTTTGAATCTATGGTTTAGGGAATATTATATTCTAGAGAATTGGCTTCCCTTGATGAATGGTTGAAAATCAACTTGTGCTTTCTAAACTGATTGTTGTTATCATAAAATAGTATTACCTTTCTGTCTTCAGGAATCTAGAGAAATTTCTCTGACCCAGGTTCCAAATTTTAACAAGGCAGTTGTCCTTAGCTGCAAAGAGGTGACTTCCTAGTCTTTGTGAGCTTGTAGCTTATTTTTTTCTTCCATTTATATCCTTAATATTTAAATGTCTTCCTTTATTTTAATTTTAATAAAATATTTAATCTTTTAAAAAATTTATAAGAATGTAAAATTAAGAAAAGAATCTAAAACTATAATGACTTAGACTGTGTTTTTCTGTCTATAAAATGAAAAGGTCATTTATATAAAAATTATATTATTGTTTTTTTTTGTCTTGTTACATTTATCAGCTACTTCAATAACTAATTTTACAGCAATTAATTCAATAAGTTATCTTTATAAGTCTTAAACCAGCTTATATGCTTTAAGATAACTTATTAGTTAGTTTGGCCAAAACATAGTGCCATGAATATATTGGACATTCTCCATATTTGGTTTTGTAGGTTAATTTGTTAATCTTTCATCTCCTCTCCAGGCCATTAGAAAACGTCTAAGGGCAATCAATGAATCTCGTGTTCAGAAGCGGAAGGTGATAAATGTTTTTTTTTTTTTGTTATTTCATTATGCTTGCTGAACATTGTGGATGAGACAAAAATATTCTATATTTACGTTCTGGATTATTTTTGGTATAGTGGGCCCTACATATTATGAAGGTTTTTGATAGTGCTTATCTTGACAGGCTGGTCAAGTATATGGAGTGGCTCTTTCAGGGTCACAACTTGCTAAGCCCGGTGTTTTCCCTGAACAAAGGCCATGCCCTGAAGACTTCCGGAAGAAATGGATTGAGGTATTAATAAAATTCTTGTTATTTACAACTTGTTTAACTATTAGGTGTTATCTATTCCTGTTAGAATGTTAAGGTTATTGGTTTGTTGTTAGTAACTTGGTTGAATTTGTAACCTCGTACTAGTACTGGTGCTAGGCCTAATTAGTCGTATAAACTATTTAGATTATTAGATATTGTACAACTCATTTATCAATGTTCAACTCACTTTAGCCATTTTTACCTATTTTCACCCAAACCATGTAGTTGTAGCATTTTAAACTAGTTAGGTTGAGATAAAAGGGATGTAAAAGAGAGAAAGACAGCTATTACAATGGAGATTGATATTAGATGTTATATGATACCCTAGCCTAATGTTCGTATCATATATATACTAATAAGTCAAGTAGTAGTACTGCTAATATAAGCCCAGGCTTACGAAGACTATTAATCTTGGTATTCTAACAGTTTTATTAAGTTTTGGCTGAGTTTATATTTAGAAAGCATGAGCTTTTAAATAATTTCTATGTTTGGGTTGATCATGGTTGGAGTTCAATCCACCGGAGGCAGTGTGAAAATATGGATAAATTATGTTTATACACTAAATACACCTTTACAGGTTATACCTATTCATGAATTTAGGAGAGCAACAATTAAATATATCCCTTTAAGAGATTGCTTAGGCCTTTATTTAAGCTTCTTACTTTGTAGGGATTTTTTTTGCTACTAGTTTTATTTATTTTTTAACTTAATTATATTTTGATAGGGCTTATCTCAACAGCACAAGAGATTACGTTCTTTAGCGGAGCTTGTTCCTCTTGTTAGAAGGAAATCACTTTTAGAGGTTCTTATTAGGAATAATGTTCCATTGTTGAGGGCTACCTGGTTTATAAAGGTTACTTACCTTAATCTGGTATGGATTCATCATTGGATGTAATTTACTTATTTATTATACCCTAAAGTTTTCCTCCCCCTTTTCTCAATATCTAAGATAGAGTATGGTTGAATTTTGCAGGTTCGGCCATGTTCTGCTAGTATTCCTTCTGGGACTGGTGACAAAACTCAGCTTTCTTGTTCTGAACTTTGGACTAAAGATGTTGTCGAATACTTGCAAACACTTCTTGATGAGTTTTTCTCAAAAAATACTTCTCATTCTACTCCTCATAATCGAGACCGATCACCCAAAGTACCTTATACTGCATCACTTCAGCACAGAAGTGATCAGTTATTATCTGTTTCTGATGGTGAAGAACCATCTTTACATTTTAGATGGTGGTATATTGTTCGCCTTTTGCAATGGCATCATGCCGAAGGGCTTCTTCTTCCATCTGTCATCATTGACTGGGTTTTGCGCCAATTACAGGTGATTGCCTGTTAACAAGTCTGGTGTGTTCATGGAAATTAAACTGAGCATTTTATATCCGTTGCTGATTTTTTTCACCTCTTCCCTTTTCAGGAAAAACAATTGCTTGAGATTTGGCAGCTGCTATTGCCTATTGTGTATGGCTTTTTAGAAATTGTGGTCCTATCCCAAACATATGTTTGCACTCTTGCTGGTATAGCTCTTCATGTTATTCGTGATCCTGCTCCTGGTGGATCAGATCTAGTAGACAATTCCCGGAGAGCATATACAATGACTGCTCTGATTGAGATGCTCCGCTTTTTAATCCTTGCAGCTCCAGAAACTTTTGTTGCTTTGGATTGCTTTCCTTTGCCATCCTCTGTAGTTTCTTACACAATAAATGATGGAAATTTTGTATTAAAGGCAAACGAAGCTGCAGGAAAGATAAAAAATAGTCCAGAAGATGTTTGTTTATTTAAAAGTAAAGGATTTGATATACAATACCAATCATTGGCATTTGATAATGTTATTTCATGCATTCAAGAACACGTAGAAGATCTCACAAAGGCTGTAAGCCCAGGCTATCCAGGTCAATATCTGGCTAAAGCTGCACAAGCCTTGGATAGATCCCTTGTATTAGGTGATCTTCATGGAGCATACAAATTTCTTTTTGAAGATCTTTGCAATAAAACTGTATCTGAAGTTTGGATTGCAAAAGTCAGCCATTGCTTAAGGTTATCTCTGAAGTGGTTTCGGACCGTAAATACATCACTTATTTATTCAGTGTTTTTCCTTTGTGAATGGGCTACATGTGATTTTAGGGATTTTCGGACTGCTCCTCCCTGTGACATAAAGTTCACGGGTGGGAAAGATCTTTCCCAATTGCATATTGCAATTAGGCTTTTAAAGATGAAACTGAGGGATATGCAGATTTCTCCAAGCCAAAGGAGTGGAAACACTTGTGCTCGTGGAGGCAGTTATTTAGCAAAATGTTCAGGCCAGCAGAGTAATAAGAATTTTTTTATCAATGCATCCAAAACCAAATCTAGTTCAAGAAGTATGGATCAGAATATCTGTTCTTCAGCTATATTTGAAAGCCCAGGTCCCCTACATGATATTATTGTTTGTTGGATTGATCAGCATATGGTGCATAAAGGGGAAGGTCTCAAACGTCTACATCTACTTATAGTGGAACTCATACGGGCAGGAATCTTTTATCCACTGGCATATGTACGCCAGCTGATAGTGAGTGGGATCATGGATATTAATTTGGTTGACTTGGAGAGACAGAAGAGACATTGCCGAATCTTGAAACAACTTCCTGAGAAGTTTGTGCGTGATGCTTTGGTAGAATCAGGGATTAGTGATGGGCCACGGCTCACTGAAGCATTGCAAATTTACTTGAATGAACGCCGCCTCGTACTACATTGTTCCTTATGGGAGAACCATGGCAGTGCCAGCAATGTCGATATATCTTCTCTTAAGCAAAAACAGTGCACATCTTCAACAAAAGACAGAGCTTCTACAATGTCAATTGATCAATGGAAAAGTGTTCGATCTAATAAAATATCCTCTAAAAATCCCAAGGATGACAATGGTGTTGAAGAACTGAAGACATTCATCTCAGCCCTGTTACAACTACCAAAGAGTTTATCTAATTTGAGCACTACCGTATTGGATGAATCTCAAGGCAGTGTCAGGAAACCTTTTGGTTCGCACAGCAAGATTGATCTAATGGAGGCTACACCTGGTTGTGAAGAATGTAGAAGAGCAAAGAGACAAAAATTGACTGAGGAAAGAAGCTCGTTTGTTCAAGCTCCTTCTCCTGTGCTGTCTGATGACGAAGATACATGGTGGATGAAGAAGGGTCTAAAATCCCCAGAGCCTCTCAAAGTTGATCAACCACTGAAGCCTATCAAGCAGGTTACTAAGACTCGACAGAAGTCTGTCCGTAAAACCCAGAGTCTTGCTCAACTGGCAGCTTCTAGAATTGAGGGTAGCCAAGGGGCATCAACAAGTCATATGTGTGACAATAAGGTTAACTGCCCTCACCATAGAACTGCTACAAATGGAGATACAGCAAGATCTGTTGATGGAATTCGATCAGGTCACTGTGAAGATATTGTTTCAATTGGAAAGGCTATAAAACAGCTGCGCTTTGTTGAAAGAAAGGAAATAACACTTTGGTTGATGACTGTAATTAGGCAGCTTATTGAAGAGTCTGAAAAAGTTGTTGGTAAAGTTAGCCAGTTTGGCAGGTCTTTTGCCAGTGTGGATGATAAAAGCTCAAACCGGTGGAAACTTGGTGAGGATGAACTTTCTGCTTTACTTTATCTGATGGATGTGTCAGACGATTTAGTATCAGCTGTAAAATTCCTCTTATGGTTGCTGCCAAAGGTTTATAGTAGCCCTAATTCTACAATTCATAGTGGAAGGAATGTTTTAATGCTGCCAAGGAATGTGGAGAACCAAGCTTGTGATGTTAGTGAGGGTTTTCTGTTATCATCTATAAGAAGGTTTGTATTCAACATAATTTTACTTTTTTTTGGATCTATTCTGCCACAATTTCTTTTGTTCCTTTTATCAGTTTTAATCCTTGTAGTGTTTGTTTGTGGTTCAAAGAACTTTGTGATTCTTAATGTGCTATACCATGTGTTTTACTTGATTGTTTTTAACAAATGCTTGTTAAACTTTTGCATGTAGGTGCTTCTTGTGCTCTTGTTTTTCTTATAGGTTTAATTAAGTAATTTCCCCTGACTTCATATGATCTTCCAATTATTTCTTTTGAAAATCCCATATTGACTAGAAATATGGCTAAATTATAGTAGATAAGTATAGTGCAACCCTTATCTTATACACTAGTTTTGTAGGGTTGAGTTAGATACGTATCTACTTTCTTAACATGGTATTAGAGTAGTGATGATCTTTTCTAAGATGATAACAATTACTCCTGATGTAAAGGGGTGTGTTGGAAATCCCAACAGTATATAAATGAGGTACAAACCTCGTATTACAAACCAGTTTTAGGGACATATGCACTTTCTTAACATACTTGTTGTTTTTTAATTCGAGCAATATCTACATTTCATCTTTATGCTAACTTCCATTTTTTGTTTAATTTTTTTACAATGGTGGTTTACATGCAATTTGATTTTATTTGGTTTATCTTGTCCTTGTATTTGATATAGGTATGAGAACATTCTTGCTGCAGCAGATCTTATTCCTGAAGCTCTTTCGTCAATAATGCATCGTGCTGCAGCTATTTTGGCATCTAATGGAAGGGTTTCAGGTTCGAGTGCCCTAGCTTTTGCTTGTCATTTATTAAAAAAATATGGTAATCTGGTGAGTGTCAGTGAGTGGTTGAAAAATTTTAAGAGTACATGTGATAAGAGACTTGCTTCTGAAGTAGAGTCTGGACGGTCAGTTGATGGAGAGTTAGGGCTTCCACTTGGTGTTCCTTCTGGAGTTGAGGACCCTGATGACTTTTTCCGTCAGAAGATAACTGGTGGCCGGTTACCATCCAGAGTAGGTTCAGGCATGAGAGAAGTTGTACAGCGAAATGTGGAAGAAGCATTTCACTATCTTTTTGGGAAAGACAGGAAGCTATTTGCTGCTGGTACACCAAAAGGTCCTACTTTTGAAAAATGGGATAATGGGTATCACATTGCTCAGCAAATAGTTGTGGGTCTGATAGATTGCATCCGGCAGACTGGTGGTGCTGCTCAAGAAGGGGATCCATCTCTGGTTACTTCTGCTGTTGCTGCCATAGTTGGCAGTGTTGGTCCAACTTTGGCAAAATTGCCTGATTTTTCAGCTGGCAGTAACCATTCAAATATATCATTGGCTACAAGTTCTTTGAACTATGCTAAATGCATTTTACGAATGCATATAACTTGTTTGTGCTTGCTTAAGGAAGCCTTGGGAGAACGCCAAAGCCGTGTGTTTGAGATTGCTCTTGCCATGGAAGCCTCTACAGCTCTTGCAGGAGCTTTTGCTCCAAGTAAAGTATCTCGAGCTCAGTTTCAAATGTCACCTGAAACCCAGGATACTGGTACTATGTCGAGTGATGTTGTGAACAACACTAGTAAAATTGTGGTTGCAAGAACAACAAAAATAAGTGCTGCCGTTTCTGCACTTGTTGTTGGTGCAATTATATATGGTGTTACGAGCCTGGAAAGAATAGTTACCATTCTCAGATTAAAGGAGGGCCTGGATGTTGTACAATTTGTAAGAAGCACAAGATCCAACTCAAATGGGAATGTACGTTCAGTTGGGGCTTTTAAGGTGGACAGTTCAGTTGAAGTTCATGTCCATTGGTTTAGATTGCTTGTTGGGAACTGTAGAACCATCTGTGAAGGCTTAGTTGTGGATCTCTTGGATGAACCGTCCATTGTTGCTCTTTCAAGGATGCAGCGTATGCTTCCTCTAACTTTGGTCTTTCCACCTGCCTATTCAATATTTTCTTTTGTTATGTGGCGACCTTTAGTTATGAATGCTAATGTAGCAGTTCGTGAAGACATGAATCAACTTTATCAGTCTCTAACAATGGCCATAAATGATGCAATAAAACATTTGCCGTTCCGAGATGTATGCTTAAGAGATTGTCAGGGTCTTTATGATCTTATGGCTGCAAATACAACTGATGCAGAGTTTGCAACCCTGCTAGAGTTGAATGGTTCCGATATGCATTCGAAAGCTATGGCATTTATTCCTCTCCGTGCTAGACATTTTCTAAATGCCATGATTGACTGTAAGATTCCTCAATCTATTTATACAAAGGATGAAGGAACCCGGAATTCTGGACACGGTGAATCTAAAATTGATTTTACTGATAGTGAATCTACACTTCAGGATAAACTTGTGGATGTGTTAGATGCTTTGCAGCCTGCCAAGTTTCACTGGCAATGGGTTGAACTCAGGCTGCTTTTAAATGAACAAGCCCTCATTGAGAAAATGAAGATGCATGACATATCTTTAGCTGATGCTATACAATTGTCCTCACCTAGTTCAGAGAAGAGTGGTGCTTCTGAGAATGAGAATAATTTTATTGAAATAATTCTGACAAGGTTACTGGTTAGACCTGATGCTGCACCCCTTTTCTCGGAGGTCGTTCATCTTTTTGGGAAGTCACTAGAGGATTCAATGTTGTTACAGGCTAAATGGTTCCTTGCAGGTCAAGATGTCCTCTTTGGTAGAAAGACCATTAGGCAACGACTGATAAACATTGCAGAAACTAAAAGATTTTCTGTTAAGAGACAATTTTCAGAACCTTGGGGTTGGTGCACCCCATATAAAGATCAAGTTACTCTCAAGGGGGATAAAAGGAAAGTTGATTCTATGCCTCTTGAAGAAGGAGAAGTTGTTGAAGAGGGAATGGATGTGAAAAGGTCCATAAAAGGGTTCTCCTCAGTCTTTGACTCTGAAAGCTGCACAAGTAAGCCGCAGCATCAGACTGAGAGGGCTCTTCTTGAGTTAATTCTTCCTTGCATAGATCAAAGCTCTGATGAATCTCGTAATTCCTTCGCAAGTGATTTGATCAAACAATTAAATTATATTGAGCAACAGATAGCTGTAGTTACTCGAGGACCAACTAAGCCAGTAAGTACTCCTGTAACTGAAGGTCAGACAAACAAAGTAAATAGCCGCAAAGCTATAAGAAGTGGCAGTCCTGGGTTAGCCAGACGACCAACACCTGCTCCAGATTCTTCTCCACTTCCTCCTGCGGCTTTGAGAGCATCAATATCTTTACGTGTGCAGTTTCTCATGAGATTTCTTCCTATTCTTTGCACAGACGGGTAATTAAGACTGTTTTTCTTCTTATATTTGTTAGATATTATTAGTCACAATCTTAATTATAAATATATTACGATATGTGTATTTTAGACACAAGGAGATTAACCCTATACCTAGTATTTCACTATATTCAACATGGTATCAAGAGCCAATACTTAACCTCTTTCTAGTTATTGTCTTGGATCAAAAAATTGTCCTTTCGTGGGTTAAAAGTACCCTTTGCCTGGTCTCATAAGTTACTTTGGAGGGGGCGTGCTGGGAGTCCCACATCGTCTGTCTCGTGTCATTTGGTATAGATTAAATACTAGTTACGTTATTCCACATATTACCAATTGGTTTTATGTTAGAACCTTAACTTTGCTATGCTTTTCTGGAATGCTTTCTCCTTCTGGATCATTGCTGCACTGAAGTAGTCTCTTTTCAAGGGGATAAAGTAGTATAAGGTTTTTTTGAAACATGATTATATAGTTAACTCTTGTGGGGTAAAGTCTAACATTTTAATTTTGTTGAAATTCATAAAAATGGAGATAGATAATTGTAATATGAACATTTTCAACAATACAATTCTCTACTATCTGCTGTACTATCATGGTTTTCAGCTACTTGCATTGATGATAGTTCATTATGGGTGCTGTAAATCAATTTGCTTCTGACCTTTAAAGAAGTGAAATATGGATATTGGCGGTGCTATGAAGGAATATGCTTGTTTTTTAGTGCATGCCACATCAGTGTATCAAATATAGGCTGTTCATAAGGTAGTTTATCTAGATGTTTAATTTTGCAGGGAGTCCTCTGTACGGAGTATGAGATACACACTTGCATCTGTACTTCTTCGTCTCCTTGGCAGCCGTGTTGTGCATGAGGATGCAACGGTGAATGCGATGCACCATTCTCCATTGAGAAGGGAGGTGGAGTCACCTGCCGAAGCTGCTTTTGTAGATTCTTCTGTTGAATGCCTGTTTGATCGACTGTTGTTGATCTTGCATGGATTGTTGAGTTGTTCTCTTCCAAGTTGGCTTAGGCCAAAACCTGTTACAAAGATAACTAATGAACCTTCAAGGGAATTTTCTGGATTTGATCGTGAGCCGTTGGAGGCATTACAGGTATGATCGAGCGGCCTATGAATGTGCAAAACTTTTAGATTCTGTGACTGATCCCATGTTATTATATATAGGATGGGATTTTATTCTTGATTTTATCTTCTGGGTGATGCTGATTAGAATGAAAGCATGCGAGCTTCTTACTTTTCTTATGGTCTATTATATAAATACAGAGTCACCTGGATAACATGCAACTGCCGGACACTATCAGGTGGCGTATCCAAGCTGCAATGCCTGTGCTTCCTCCCTCTACACGGTGCACTTTCTCATGCCAACTGCCAACAGTTCCAACTTCTGCTCTTGCATCTCTTCAACCCAACACTACAAATTCTGGGTTTAACTCCAGTAGTTCAACTTTCCCTCAGAGGAATCCGGTTCCATCATCAAGGACTACAGCATCAGGGAAGTCAAAACAGCAGGACAATGATTCGGAGACTGACCCTTGGATGCTTTTAGAAGATGGTGCTGGATCTTGCCCGTCTGCAAGTAATACTAATATCATAGGAAGTGGTGATCGTGTCAATAGTCGTGCTTCCAGCTGGCTTAAAGGGGCAGTAAGAGTGCGGCGGACAGATCTTACATATGTTGGAGCTGTGGATGAGGATAGTTGATTAACAATTTTTTATTGGCCTGATGTATGCAAACCCCTCGGCAGGTATAGCATTTGTTTCATTGTATATTATTGATGGCAGAATGGCATGAAGGTGCCATTCTGTGCTTCCCCTTTTGTGTTGAAGGGAAGTTGAGGGGACATCATTTTGGGAAACAGGTGAAGGGACACGTACGTGTTCTTTGTTGAAGAAAAGTGAAGGTCATCGTGTTTGTTCTGGCCTGGTTGACTACTAACCTGTTGATCACCCGCACCCTGGGCTTGTGCACTTTCAGACACGGTTCAGTGGTTTATTGTAAATATAGGATCATTGTTTCAACTCTCCCAATTTATTTGATAATATATCTTAAGTGATCTGTAGTTGTTCCGTTCTAATTCATGTCTTAATGTGTGAACTGTGTATCTTCCGGGGACACAGGCACACACCAGTGCGCGTGTTCAATTTTTCCTTTTAATTATTCAAAATATCAAAATTATCTCTGCTTTCATATGGAGAAATACAGCATTTAATTTAATTACAAGTTCACGGAACTTTATCAAGAGAGGGTCAATTACGAAAATATGACAAAAGTTTATTTTTAGCTTAAAAGATAATAACTTTTTAACTTTTAATTTCTCAGTTGTGTAAATGTTTTAATTTTAATAAAATTTAAATTAGTTTTGATCGGCAATTATGTAAAATAATATAGTAATGCACCATGTGCAAGTGACGTGATGAAACAATTGGGTGAAAATCGGTATATTTTAAATAATTGGATTTCTCATCGGTATATTTTAAATAATCGGATTTTTACTTAAAGTGGTATACAATTGAAAAAATTAGTATAAAATTGGTAAAATCAGAAAATAGATTGAGTTTTAATAAAAAATAAATAAAACCGGTGATCAAAATATTTTTTTATAAAAAATAATATATATATATATATATATATATATATATATATATATGTTTTTTTTTTCATTCTTTATCTTATATAAATCATAACAACTTTTAAATAAAAACATTCTTTTATTTACTTTGCCGTGTTTGGTAAAACTGCTATAAATTACGATTAAAAAATGTGGAAAATTGCCTTCTGTCTTCATTACATTTAGCAACTATGTTTCATTCAGAAACAAGGGAATACACAATCATCATCTATCTGTCTATATTCTACTGAGATTGTTTCTGTAAAGAAAAACGAAGATTGATGGATGGATTGTTGGATGGAAAGCAGATGTTAGGATGCGGTTGTAAAACCAAGTTGTGGTTTCTGGATATCGATTTCTCATTGATTTATGTACATTGAGAACATCTTCAATCATGCAACAATGATGAATGCTAAGCCTTCCATGACTCTTGAATAACACTCTAGTACTTCTTTTCTTACATCCATAATTATCATTCTTAGTCATGTTTTCAATTTCAGAATATTTAGAATATATATCATTTCCTTCTCACTTTTTTTTTTAACTATTAATTATTTAAAACAATTATACTTTGATACGCAATCGATTTCTCATCCATTTTTTTTAAATTGATTGTTTTAAAAATTAAGAATGGTAACATTTAGGAAAAATATTGTGTCGAAACTAACGAAATTTATATACATCATCTTCTCTCAACCTATCGAAACGTCTTTTAAGAATAAAACCGTGATGAACAAGAACTCTAAAACGGACAATACATCGATCGTGAGAATTAACCCTAACGATGATATCATAAAGTACATGAGGCCGGAACATTCTCGTTCCTAGATGATATTTTGTGTACCTACCTGACCCAAATCCATTAAAGCCATTTTATTTATTTAATTATCTTGTTACATATTATCTTATTAATCATCTTTTATCTGATATTATTTTGTATAATATCCTATATCAATTATTGTCTTTTGGACTATCTTCTGGTCCTATATAAAGAGACTCAACTAGGGACTAAATCTGACCTTATCAATCATTATCAAATACACTACTCTCTTGTATAAAAGCTAACTTGAGCATTAGAGTGTCTTGTGCAGGTGTGTCTCTACTCTTTCCAAAGGAAGCTACCTTCAGCCATGAAGTCGCAACTTAGAATTTGATCTACTGATCTCCTCAATCCAACCTCATACCGTCTTGTCGACCTCCACTAGTTTGTAAAGAACATTTGGCACACACCGTGGGGGCCTTGATAAAACGATTCTCATAATCTATTCCATCCCATTAGCCTATATATACCTTACTCAATGTCACATGGGTATAAACATTATACCTTAATCAAGATAACATGATTATAAAAGTTGTACCTTACTCAGGATCACATGAATATAAAAATTGTACATTACTCGGGATCACACCTGTATAAAAATTGTACCCTACTTGGGGTCATATGAGTGTAAAAAATATACCTTACTTAGGGTAATGTGAGTATAAAAGTTGTATCTTACTGGATATCACAAAAGTATAAAATTATATCTTACTCAAGGTAATATGAGTATAAAAGTTGTACCTTACTCAAAGTCACACGAGTATAAAAATTATACATTACTCAAGGTAACATGTGATGATGATCATGGGAAGAATCTTGAAAGACTTAAAATATTTGTTGGAAGATGTGATGAAGTCAAAAGAAGATGTTTTGTTGTTGTAGTCCATAAGTGTGTTTGCATTAAGTTTCATAGGTATAAGAATCTATCCTTTTTTCAAGCATGAGTTTCTTCTTTCAAAAATTAAAGTAAAAGTGCCTCAAGAATTTTTAATCTATTAAAAATTGTTTTAATATGTTCTTCAACAAACTTTTTAGCTGATATATTTTCGAATTAATGGATTAATTTTACTTAAACAATCAAAGAACATTATGATTCACAATTTTAACTGATTGATTAAGAAGGTTTTTAACCTGTGAAAATGTTCTTGACTTAGTTTTGAAAAACCTTGGTTCGCAGATTTAATTAATACATGACCGGTGTTATCAGTTAAAACCTCTCTAGAAAATATGCAAAGTTAGTTTAATCTATTAATCCAATTTTGTTATCACTTAAAACATCTCTAGAAAAAAAATCCAGAGTTATTAATTAAAACATCTTGAGAAAAAGTATCATAACTATTTTAATCGATTAAATAACTTTTTCATCATTTAAATCTATTTAAACTTGTGCGTTGAAGAGTGACTTTAGCTATCTTAATCGATTAAGTCACGAATTAATCGATTAAATGTATTAGTTACTCTATAATTTTTCTAAATAAACAGATTCCCACACTAGTTGATTCGATGAACAAATATGAGTTTCTTCTTTCAAAAATTAAAGTAAAAGTGACTCAAGAATTTTTAATATATTAAAATTTATTTTAATATGTTAATATGTTCTTCAACAAGCTTTTTAACTGATATATTTTTAATTAATCGATTAATTTTACTTAAACAATTAAAGAACTTTATAATTCACAATTTAAATTGATTAAGAGAGTTTCTAATAAGTTAAAATGTTATTGGCTTAGTTTTTGAAAAATATGGTTCATAAATTTAAATGATGCATGATGGGTGTTATTAGTTAAAACCTCTCTAGCAAATATGCAGAGTTATTTTAATCGATTAATCCACTTTTTTATCAGTTAAAACATCTCTGAAAAATATCTAGAGTTATTTTAATTGATTAAACTACGTTTTTATCAATTAAAATGTCTTGGGAAAAAATATCGGAACTATTTTAATCGATTCAAATGCTTTTTCATCAATTAAATCTACTTAAACTTAATGCGCTAAAAATGACTTTAATCAATTAAGTCACGAATTAATTGATTAAATATATCAGTTACTTCCAAATTCTTCTATATAAGCAGATTACCACTCTCACTTCAAAATATACTTTTGAGAAATCATTCAAGCAATCTTTTGAGATTTGTTCTAAGAGAGGATCTACTTTTTACTTTAGAAATCTTATTGAAATCATTCTTGAGACTCTTTGTTCATATTCTTATGTCACTTGGTTTTCTAAAGCCTATTTATACAACAACAAACATGTACAAAGAGTGCAAGACCCATAATTAAATAATAGAACTCGAGTTTCTTTCCACAAAATTGAGCTTCTACAATAAACTCACTTAGTGGTTTTTTAATTCGCTAATCAAATTTGCTATTAAGTTAGTTACAAAAAGTCAACAATTCACTCAATAGATTATTGTATTTTGGCATAAACTCTCTAACTAGTATATGCTTGAGGGGATCTTCTATGCACTTACCATAATTTTCAGGATAAAACTTTATATTTTCTTTAATTTATCATTCCTACAAAAGTTATATATATATATATATATATATATATATATATATATATATAAACTATGTTAAAATTTAATAATTAATTAAAGAAATATACTAAATATAGATAAACACACTTGTACAATTATTGATAAAATGCGTTCATCAAACACTAGATAAAGGTTGTATTCACGCAGTGTAAATTGTGAAAAATTGAAGAAACTAGAGAAAATTAATAAGAGTGTTCACCAAAGTTTGATTTCAATAAGCAACTAAAGAGTGAATAAACCAACTACACTTGTTGGCACTAAGTGATAGCTAATTTCGTTTAGCAAAAAATTCTAATGCTTCATAAAAATTCAAAGAAAAGCGTTGAGTAAAAATCAACTAAATTACTTTAGATAATAAAAATTTAGAAAATGAAGAAACAATGGCTGAGTGAAGTTTGCTTGCACCCAAAAAAAAAAAAGATGAGAAAAATCAAGAAAATAGTTTTATAAAGAGCCTCCGTTAAATTATTCTTTCACTAATTTTAAGCCTTTACCATTTAATTTAAATATATGTATTTTTAGGTGATAATGATTCTTTTCATGTAATTATTTCAATTTTTTAATATTGAACAAAAAGCTAAATTAATTACTGTAATTAATGAAAATAAAAAGGCTATAGGTTAGACATTAGATGATATTCCATAAACAAGATGAATGAGTTATAAGATAGTTTTAAACCTATTAGGAAACCTCAAAATGAGAGTTAATGCTCAAATATTAGAAGTAATTAAGAAAGAGTTTACTAAATTATTAGGTAAGTCCTATACAAGTAGTTCCTAGAACCTATTGTTTAACTATTATTATAAATGAAAAGGGTGATTTAATTCTATAAAGAGTTCAAAATAGTTGGAGAGTATGTGTTGATATTAGAAGATTAAATCAAGCAACTAGAAAAAAACTATTTTCCTTTACCATTTATTGATCAAATGTTAGAAACATTAACTTGTAAATCACATTATTGTTTTCTAGATGACTTTCTAATTATTTCCAAATATATATTACACCAGAAGATTAAAATACAACCACTTTTACTTGTCCTTTAGGAACCTCTTTTTGTAGAAGAATGCCATTTGGAACAATGTTGATATGAACCTCATTTGCACAATGACTGACTTAAGATCTTTATGGTTAGAATCTTGTAAGAAATTTAGGAAATTAGTGAGAAGATGGATTAGAAAGTGGTGAAAGTTTCATGGTTGGACAATATTTTTGAAACGTCGATATCTCAAGTTATAAAACTCCGATTGAGATGATTAAAAAATGAGGTGAAAGTTCTCTTTATGAATTTAAATTCAGGCTCAAGGAACACTCAATTTGGACAAGTAAAACGAAAGTTATGAACACAAAATAAATCTAGACAGAATTGAGATTTTTGAGTTTTAGTGAAGAAAAGACAAGAGATGAATGTGAAAGGTCGAAGGAAAGAATCACTCTTCCCAAGGGAGGCAACTCACAAAGGATGTGAAAGTTCTTTCGGGTTCTTGAATCACTTAAGAATTTTAGAGAATCACTCTTACTAAGATAAAAGAGCTAAACTATAATATTTCTGAATAAAACTTAACTTGTTATTTCTGATAAAAATAGTTCAGTTTATATAAAAAAACTTTTGCCATCAGAATTACAAAGACTTAATAAAGGGAAATAAATCTTAATAATAATTCATTAGTCTAGGAATTGAAACTACTTAAAGGAGACAAATAAATGCTAATAATGATCCATTAACTTAGGAATTGAAAACTACTTAATGACTAATTGTAACTGAAATTGTGGCAACCAAAAGTTATGCACCCTTCCAAAAGCTGATACCTAAGTTTCCAATCGGACCCTTATTAAAACTTGAAACAAAACCAAACTAAAATCCATTAATTGATTAACCCAAATTTGGTCATCCAATTTTACAAAAGATTGAGTCATTATTTAAACAAACTTAAAGACTGAAACAAAGTGACGCATTGATCCTCCTCCATTTGGGCCATAATGTAATTCACAACTTTGGTCTTTTCTCCTTGAAATGTGGACTTGTATTTAAATAATATGGACAATACTTGTTGAAGAACTTCATTTACTTTCTTTGCTCTAACCCTTGTCATACGTCCTCATGTCTCCATCAAGTGTATTGTACTATTTATGGATGAATTTTCTATTTATGGTTCTTCTTTTGATATTTGTCTTGATAAATAAAGAATTGAAGAAATATATTGAAACAATCTTGTTTTAAATTATGAAAAATATCATTTTATGATTGAATAAAGAATTGTTTTAACTATTTCAAGAGAGGATATTCAAGTTGATCATGCTAAATTAAATGTCATATCTCAATTAACTTATCAATCTTCTATTAGAAAGGTTCATTCTTTCTTGGTCATGCGAAGTTTTATAGAATATTTATTAAGTTTTTAGTGAAATTTATCTTTCATTAGCTACATTATTACATAAGAATGTAATATTCAATTTTGATGATAAATGTAAAAAAACTTTTGATTATATGAAAAATACATACACTATTACTCCTACTATTAAACCTCTTGATTAGGAATATCCTTTCTAAATTATATGTGATGTTTCTAATTATGTTTTGGGAAGGAGAGTTGTCCTTGGACAAAGAATAAATAAAGCTATTTATGTTATTTATTATTCTTTTAAAACTTTAGATTTTGCACAAGTTAATTATATTACTATTGAAAAAGAGTTATTTGCCATTTTTTTTGTACTTTACATAAATTTCTATTTTATTTATTAGGTTCTCAAATTATTATTTATACTTGATCATGCTACTCTTAAATATTAGTTGAAAAAAAAATCTTATTCTAAATGTAGACTTATTAGATGAAATATTTTATTACAAGAATTTGTAATGATCCATATTTATAAAGTTATTAGAAGATATGTACCTAAAAATGAAATATCCTCTATTTTAAAATTTTGTCATTCTTCCCCTCCGGAGGGACATTTAGGTCTTCAAAGAATTGAAAAAAAAAAATTATAGATATAAGGTTTTATTAGTAAACTATATTTAAAGATTCTTAGCAATGTTTCAAATCTTGTGAAGTGTTTCAAAATGCAAGTGCCAATATATTAGGAGGACATAAAAAACTAGTGAATACACCTTGTGTTAGTCTTTTCTCATTGGATTAGTAATTACCCGACGTGTAAAAAATGTAATGTCACTTTTGAAATTAAAGCAAACTTTTTTATGTCGGACCATATTGATGAAGATCATGGTAGAGATCTTGGAAGATTTGATGAAGTCAAAAGGAAGACTTGTTGAAAAAGATTTATTGTTGAGGTTATAGTGTGTATGCATTAAATGCTTAGGTATAAACACTTATCATTTCTCAAACATGTGTTTCTCTTTTAAAAGTCAAAGAAAAAGTGTTTCAAGAAATTTTAATCTATTAAAATTATTTTAATTTGTTAATTAGTTCTTCAATAAAGTTTTTAACTGATATATTTTATATTTAATTTGTTAATTTTACTTAAATAGTTAAAGAACTTTATGGTTCAAAGTTTTAACCGATTAAGGAAGGTTTTAATATGTTAAAATGTTCTTGATTGAGTTTTGGAAAATTTTGGTTTGTAATTTTAATTGATACATAACTAGTGCTATTAGTTAAGACTTGTTTGGAAAATTTTCAAAGTTATTTTAATCAATTAAATTATGTTGTTATCAGTTAAAACATCTCTAAAAAATGAATAGAACCTTTATAATCGATTAAATGATATTTTAATCACTTAAATCAACTTAAACTTAGTATAAACAAATTCTAGTTATTTTAATCGATTAAAAGATGAATTAACCGATTAATCTTATTAGTATTTTTAAATAAATTTCTACATAAATAGATTCTCTCTTTCATTCTCAATATACTTTTTAGAAATTAATCTAGCAATATTTTGATAATCATTATGAAAAAAAACACACTCTACTATTTTAAAATCTTTAAAATAATTGTTCTTGACACCCTTTGTTATTTTTCTTAACGAAATTTGTTTTGTGATTGAATTTTTGTTTTTAATAATTATAATTTTTATCGATAATAATTTAGTAATGTTTAAATTTTTTTATTAAAATAATTTTTTATCATTCACATTATTTATTTATATTTTTTATCATCTTTCCCATAATCTAAATAATTTGATTTTCACTTCAAAATCTATTTTTTTTACTCACTTAAATTTATCCTTTAATCACTTCAAATCTATTTTTTTTTCACTTAAATTTATCCTTTAATCTAAAGAAAGATTTAAAAGAATCTCATTTTATGATCAATATAATAAAACAAGAACATATAGTCTAACAGCAAACAAGAATATAACCTTTTCTCTGCATGTTGTTCACTTGCTCCAACTAGCAGTGTCGGTGTTTATCGGTCCGCAGGCCACCGTAAAGGCAAAAGCATTTTATGTCTATTGGCCATCAATAGCTTTTTACTTATCTTTTCACACCATTAACTTTTTGCATATTTTTCCCTCCAAGTGTTAGTAATTGTTGTTTTAAGGACATTAATTAAAAACATTTTTATTAAATAATATTATTAACTATTTTCATTCTAATTTTAAAAATATATTGCCAATGTGATTTCTGTTTTAAATTTTTTATTTATAGATATTCTAACAGTCTCCTTTATCACTCAAACGGCTAACTTCTCTTTCTGGCACACATATACGTTTTTCAGAATCACCATTACCCACTTTTCCTGTCCTTCCTAGAAACAACCACTTACCCATAAATAAATAATCAACATTCTCTCTTTCTCTCTTTCCAAACATGGTCCCAAATCTTTTCACTAGATTCTCTGGAGTAATTTCATAAATCACAACTCTATCTATTAATTAATATATCACTTTTGCAAAGAAAAATAGCGAGGGAGAAAAAGATAAATATTCCCCCATTTGCAAATAGTCGTTGCAATTCTTCAACACAGTATTGATGATCCCTCTTCCCTTTCTTAAACCCCAAACCGTAGCTCGTCTTCCCACACTCTCTCACCCGTTTCAAGCATACAATCTTCTGTATCCATTTTAGCTTCCCCAGAAAAAACGTTTGGCTTTACCCTCTCAACTGCAAACAACATTGTTTCCCTTGTGCTTATCTTAGCTTCATCAAGACTCACACGCGTCATTCCAGGTGGAGAGAAAGACACTAGGCAACACATACCAAAAAAAACAGTCTTATTTTCCAAAAGTGAAAGAACCATAGCCAAAACAAAAATGGCTATGTTTCTTCTCATTCCACTGTTATTATCTTCCATTTCATTGTTCAGCATTTCATGTAAGCCAACCGGTTTCCTTTCTCACAAAAGCCTCAATTTTTCTGTTTCCTTGACGCGTATATTATTCTAAAACACAATCTTTCTGATTCTATGTTCTTGACAGCCGCAACGTTCTCACCACAACCCGGAATCTGCTATGGCCAGCTCAGCGACAACCTCCCACCGCCGCGAGAATCGGTCTCCCTCCTAACCTCTCTTCACGCGAAGCGTGTGAAGCTCTACGACGCTAACCCGGCGATCCTCCACGCGCTTCAGCACACGCGCCTCCAAGTCTCCGTCATGGTGCCTAACGACCTCATCTTCAACATCTCCTCCAACCAAACCCTCGCCGACAAATGGGTCTCCTCGAACGTCGCACCTTTCCTTCCCAACACCCACATCCGCTACATCCTCGTCGGCAATGAAATCATCAGCAGCACCACCAATGCCACGTGGCGCCACCTCGTCCCCGCCATGCGCCGCATCAAACACTCCCTTAAATCCCTCGGGATTCGCAAGGTCAAGGTCGGAACCTCCTCCGCCATGGACGTGCTACAAACCTCTTTCCCTCCCTCAAACGCTGCGTTTCGTGAAGACATAGCTATTCCCGTCATGAAACCCATGTTGAAGTTCCTCAACCGAACCAAATCCTTTTTCTTCTTAGACGTATACCCTTTCTTCACTTGGTCCTCTGATCCGGCAAGCATAAACCTCGATTATGCGCTATTTGAATCGAAGAATGTTACCGTAACGGATCCAGGTTCGGGTTTGGTTTACACCAACCTCTTCGACCAGATGGTAGACGCTGTTTATTTCGCAATCGAAAAACTTGGGTTTCCGGGTATGCCGATCTTTATAGCGGAAACGGGTTGGCCCAATGGCGGGGACCTTGACCAGATTGGAGCTAATATTTACAACGCCGCCACTTTCAACCGAAACTTCATAAAAAAGGTTACCAAAAAACCGTGGGTTGGGACGCCGGCTCGACCGGGTTCGGTTCTTCCCTCTTTTTTATTCGCTTTGTTTAATGAGAACCAGAAACCGGGTCCGGGCACGGAGCGGCACTTCGGGCTGCTGCACCCAAACGGGTCGAAGGTTTTTGATGTTGATTTGTCGGGGAAGACGCCGGAGTCGGAGTTCCGGCCGCTTCCAGCGCCGGAGAATAATGAGAAGTTTAAGGGGAAGATATGGTGCGTGGTGGCGCGGCATGATAACGCGACGGCGCTAGCGGCGGCACTTGCTTACGCGTGCTCGCAGGGGAATGGCACGTGCGACCCGATCCAATCCAGAGGGAAGTGCTTTAAACCCGATTCGGTTTTCTGGCATGCCAGCTATGCGTTTAGTGCATACTGGGCGCAGTTTAAGAAGGTTGGTGCAACTTGTTACTTCAACGGGCTTGCCACACAAACCGCAAAGGATCCAAGTAAGTTAAAAAAATGGTCATTGTTTCATTCCCATATTGTGATTTCTGATTAATGTTAGCAACATTAGATTAAAATTGTGCTCTTGCGTGATTGGATTTTCGTAATTTATTCGTTTGCAATTTATTAGAATGAAGCGTTTGGTTTGGTTTTGTCACCTGATTGAAGAAATCAGATGTGAATCCTTTAAAATTTTAAAACTAGGTTTTTTGAATTTACTTCCTGCTAATTCATATTCTCTTGAATTATTGTAGGTTATGGATCTTGCAAGTTCCCAAGTGTGATACTTTGAAGGAATCATTCATTTTGTGTAATGGTTCTGCGCCACAATTGGATCGCCATTATTTGACCTCATGATGCTATGAATGCTAGAGCTAGAAAAAGTGACGAAAGTGCGGTGTTATTTGCATGATCATTTTTCTGTAAATTGTTTGAAATATTTTCTTTCTTTCAGTCTATTAGTAACGGCTCCAAGACAGCCCTAGGGATGTAGGTCCATCACTATGATTACTGATCAGCAACTCGTACCGCAATTTATGTTTTGTGGCCTGCGGGACCCACTACGCTGTCAGCGTTATAATTATGAGTTTTGCTTAGGAATGGGATTTATGTACTTTTTTTTTTTTTCTCCAGGTTTCTCGTTGAGGATAAAAAATTGTAAATTGTAAAACCAATAAGATTAGTATCAATTTTTTATTAAAATATAAGAGGCTAAGAATTTTTTTTTTTTTGGATTCTTCAGTGTTACTAATTATTTGAGAACCTTTAATTATTTCACAATATATTCATCAGTTTTCTTTTTTTAAGCTCATAAAAACTCCAACTAGTCACTAAATTTTTAATCTAACAACTTAAAACCTTGCTTTAATGCTCAAATAAAACTAAAAGAAAATAATTATAGATAAAAATAAGAATTACATATTTATTCTTTATTTTTTATAATATAATAATTTATATTAATTATTTTTTTAATTATTTGATTAAAAAATAATAAATAATTTTTTTAATTTTTATTTTTAGAAGGAATAGATCCTTTTATATATATATATATATATATATATATATATATATATAATTGAATTATATATCTAAAACGTAATAACGGTTTGACTTTCAATAAGTAAAAAATTTTGACTTTCAATAAGTAAAAAATTTTGATAAACTAATTTAATTTATATTTTAAATTTAGAACGTAATAACGGTTTGACTTTGAATAAGTAACAAATTTGATAAACTAATTTAATTTATATTTTAAACAGTTATAATTTTAGGTTTATTGTGTTTTTATATTAAGTTAATGAGACAATTTTATATTATTTTAAAAATTAATAAGTTGTTTATATAAAAATAATTTATTTTAAAAAATTAAATAATGAAAAGATATATATTTTTTAAATTGAAGTTATATTTATAAAATTATTTTTAATTTCAAATATAATTATTTAATATATACATTATAAAAGAGATCAAACTACTCTCAAAATAAATATTTATTTTTTATTATAATTACTCAGTTTTTAATCATATAATACTCTTATATGAATAAGTAAATCACATATTAATTTATAATATATATATATATATATATATATATTTAATAAAATAATATTATTTTTATTTTATTTTAAGAAAATATTATTTCATAAAACAGATTATTATAATATATATATTTTTAATAAAATAATATTATTTTTATTTTATTTTAAGAAAATATTATTTTATAAAACAGATTAATTCATAAACGTACGAGTAACTTTACCTAAACACATTTAGATCATGATTTAAATAAGAAGAGGTAAAATTGAGCTAACTTAATCTAATCTTATTTAAATCTATTTTTAAATCCCTAAAAATTTATACTATTTTTAAAATTATATTACATTACTTAATTTTAATGTTTGATATAACATCTACAACTTTTTTTATTAATTTTTTTATCAATTTTATTGAGTGATTTTTTCTCATGATTCATTAATATGTTGAGCAAATTTGAATCTACCTAGCAAAATCAATATAGTGACTTTTGCTTTTGTGTTTTTTTTTTTTATTAACTTTTGTTTTCTTTTTTTACCTTTTGATTTTTGTGATTGAATGCTTATATTTCATAGCGATAAAACATTAAAATTTGATCAAAAATCGAAAGGAATGTTTCTAAACTTAAAAACAAAAATAGAAGGTTAAAATATGAGTCTTCATCCATAAAAAACAATGCAAATCAAAGTGTCCTAGAAAAAAATTTTGGATAAGATTTCCATATCTTCTCAAAAGTACTTAGTATATGTTACTACTGTCAGGAGGGCTTATTGTATTTTATAAGGTTCTTCATAACTCAGTACATCTTGAATTGATAGTTTCATGTAGTGGACTATTAGTTGAAATTTGAGATACTTGATGGATCCATAGTTACTAGTTTGTTTTATGGTCAGTTGGTGAATATAAGCTTAAGTCTTGGGTAGTGGGCCACGATTGGCATTGTGGTTAGTCCCAATGACCAAGTACACATATTGGTCATGTGACCGATGTGTAATATAACACAACATAACCGAGCCTAAAGTTGAAGATCTTGAGACTAATGTAATAGATCTATCTCATCACCAAGAAGACATGTCGACCATGCGTTTGATGTAAAATATGACACCACACAACTCCTTAGCTTCAAGTCCAAAATGTTGAAGTTAATGAATATAGTGGGTTGAACAATTGATAAATACTATGGATCACATAAGATCATAAATGAAGGTTACACGATCATATAGAATCATTTGGGGATCACATGCCATGGTGGATTAGTTACATGCCATAGGAGATCAATTAAGATCACAAGCAATGAGAGATCAGTTAATATCACATATAATGGGAGATCGGTTAAGATCACATGCCATGTGGAACGGTTAAGATCATATGTCATGAAGAATCAATTAAGATCACATATAGGACTTTTTGGGAGATCATAAGGTCATTTTGGAGATCAATCAAGTTGACCAGAGGGAAATTATAGGAGGTCAGGGATCATACTCAATAGCTTGGCTATAAAGAGATCACTTGATTGGTATTTTGGAGATCATACTAAATAGGTCAGCCAAAGATATTACATCATCATTTTGGAGATCATATTAATAAGACTGACCTAATAGATATCAGAGGAGGTTGTATATCATACAAGATAGTCATATAGAGATCATATAGGGTCGGTATTTAAAAAATATATTGAACAGGCCGACCAGAGATATCAGGTAATCATTTTGGAAATCATATTGATAAGATCGGCCAAATTTTTGTTTTCATTAGTTATTCTTTTGTTTTCTTTGTTATTTTTAGTATATGTTTTCCTTAACATATTTTTTATTAGATACCTTCATTTTTAATCTTTTTGTGAACAACTTTTACTTCATCATTATTTGTTAGAAGCTTTCAAACTTGATAGATATGTATCTTACATTTGAATTTAGTTAATTTTCATGAAAAAAGTTAGATGGGTAATGTAATCTTGGCTCATCTCTGTCCAACCTTTATATTTAAATTTAAATCTTAAAATTTTAATATTTTAAAAATATTTAATTTCCTTTCTTTTACACACAATCATTTTAAATTAATTAAATAAGAATTAATTTATTAAGTATTTTCTCATAAATTATATATTTCATATTTATAAATATTTTGTAATGATAACTTAGAATATAATTAATTTATATATGTAAATCGTTTATCAACACAATTTTTTTTTCTTTTTTATCTCATCTTAAATCTTATAAATTTTATATTTTCTTCTCTGTAAATGTCATAAGATATTTTTTACTATAAGAATAATGATATTTTGAAGCCGACGAAATCAAATATATATTTTTAGGCAATGATAATAATATATAATAAGTATATTCATGTTTAAAAATAAGGATAAATGATTGTTGGTTAGTTATTTGTTCAAGTATGTATTGTGAAAATATTTTTATCCTTACTTTAAGGGGCGATATTCAGTCAACATTAGTCAACGTCTCAACTAATCTATCACTGATCCTTGTACCAACTTATATGCGACATTTATTCATCACAAGTCAAAATAACTAAAATCTTTCCATTCCACCAAACTCTCAAACAAACCCTATCCTTTTTATTATCAGGAAAACCCCCCTCTCAGGATTTCTGTTACTCTGCAACGTTCCAGTTCACTCATCATACTTCAGAAACCAACCCTTTATTATTCCAATCTCTGTAACCAGACCCAGATAAAGGAAAAGCCAAAACAAACCATTTTGTTTCTTTGGGTCTTTCTTCTACACAATGGAAAAAAGTATCTCCAACAACCACGGCCTCCACCTTAGGATCATGCTCACTCCTCCACAGCCACCACCACCATCACCATCTTCGTTCAAAACCCAATTGAAACAGTTCCGGAAAGGTTTAACTATGAGGGCGAGTTCGAGAAGCGGGCACTGCGAGTTCAGCAGCCTCAACGCGCCTCTTGAGCCACGCTCCCTTGTGGGGAAGTTTCTCGGCAGCGTATTGCAGAATCGCCGCCAGCTGTTCCACGTGGTTGCCAAGGAAGAGTTGAAGATGTTGAGTGATGATAGAGACTCTGTTGTTGCTCGCATGGTTATCAGTCAGGACTGTGATGAAGCCTTGCTTCATAGGTTTCTCTCCAGTACCAAATACTACTTATTGTTTTTTTCCATTCTGTTTTTGCTCGTGTTTCTCTTATGTGGTTAGTAGAAATTTTCTCTCTGTTTAATAAATGGTGAGGTTTTGACTTCATGTTAATTCGAGTGGGTGTGCATGTATGTATTTGCTTGAGATGTAATTTGAGGTTTTTAATTTAGTTTAAATAGTTAAAGGTCTTTTAGCTTGTTTTGTAATTTATGGTTTTTGATTTAATTTAAACACTTAAAGTTTTTTTTTAAACGATCATTGAATCATAGACTTTTATCGATGGTTAAATGTTGCTAGACAGTTCTAGCTGCCTGACAATGGTTAAATTATATTCTTTTATGTGTATATTTGGTTAAAATTTTACCCATTGGAGTGGAGATTACTGTAGTGGTTTTCTCTATATATATATATATATATATATATATATATATTTATTTATTTATTTTTTCATATGAATCCCTATGAATTTTACTCCCTAACACTATGGAGGAAGTTTAATGATCTTAGATTATGTATACTTGCATCTATTCATCGTTTAGTTTTTGTTGTTACTAGTGTACGTGGCTTAAAAAGTTATGCTTTAGTGTATATGGAAACAAGAATGGAGCAGCTTTTTATGTGAGAGGAACCTAATTATATTAACTGAACTCATTTGAGAAAGGAGATCTGTATTTCTCTAAACTGGTAAAGGCTAGTGATAGTGAATGTAAAAGGAGGGTAAACTTTCTAAACCTTGACAGACTTTGTATCGTTTGTTTTGTATTCACCGTTACTATGCCTCTCTCTCCCTTTTGAGTGGATGAAATTTCCCTAAATAAGATAGAAACTAGATAAGAATCACGAGGGTAGCCTACAAATACCTAAGATGACAATTGTTTCAAATTCCTTGAAATTGTATGATTATAAAGCTGAAAAAAAGTCAAAGACTAAGTTATCACATAGGAAGTTCACAAGTATAGACACCCTTATGATGCAAGCATTTTGGTTCCACATGTTATGCCAAATGATAGCTCCAAACCCTGACAATTTTTATGGAGTCCTGTTTTTACCACCTTTATAGAATACCATCAAGTACACTTACATGTGGACACAACCTGGTGTTCATGAAGGTCAAGAAGAATGTCCATAGAAAATGGCCAGCAAGGTAAAAAATAAGTGTCCAACAGTTCTCTTCTTACCAAGCAGATGAAGATCGGTAAGAGGATGTGAGGAGATTGGTAGACCATATTTCGAGCTTCAACTTCGATCTCGGCTTCAAGGATGTTGAATGATTTTTGCTGGAAACAGCATAGACCCACCTGCAAAAAGCACTCCGACACAAGTCAATTTTTGGACAAAAGAATAGTACATTTGAGAATGAGTGATAAGGTTAGATTTACTCCCTGACTGAGTCTACTTATATAGGAATCTGTATAGTTTTATGGTAAAGAGTTGTACCATCGTAAGATTGGTCCTAGCAACGTGGTAGGAAAAACTCGGTACAGGATTGCTCCGTTGTTAGTATACATTTGTATATTGTTAAATGTTCTTCTGGATTGAGCTATCGTACTTCTCTAACATGAGTGATTCTCTTTTAGTTGGAGAGGGGTTTTCATTATTTAACCTCCTTGCGAATTTCAATTCTTCGTGTATGCTGATGTGTAGATTAAAGCCGAGGTGGGGCTTCTAATGTAGGTTCTTTCGGAGATGGGAGTTGAACGGTTGCTTTGTTAATGTGCTCTCGCACCTGACATTCTTTCTTGAGTGACTCCTTCTTACTTGACTTGATGACTTGACATTTTGTCCGAAGGGTTTCCCAACCTGTGCACAACTTGAATTTTGACTTTCTCTCAGTTTCGAATCATTGAGTGCATTTTGATGGTTGGTGTTAATTATTGTTGGATTTGCGCTTGACCCAATATTATGTATCTTTCAATTGTATGTTCGACTTACTCGACTAGGACCATTTGATGAGGACCTTTAACTCACTTCGTAAAATTTGGAGCTTGGCCTAGTGCTGTTTTAGAACTAACTCCAAGTCTTATGTTGCTTTTTGTTGGATTTGCAAAAGTTTAGCATTCTTATGTTATTAGAGATTCTTTATCTCCTCATGATTTTTTTGTTGATATTCGTCCATATGTTTTTTAAGGTTGTTGAGGACAACTATGGGATCCATATCGTCGTTTAAATTTGATATTGTCGGTCTTCGATTTTAGACCATGGAATGGAAGAGATCACGATGATCGTTTTACCGGTCCCACGGTGGACACAAAATGTTCTTACTAGGCGGATGAAGATCGACAAAGGATGTGAGGAGACCGATGAAATGTTATAAATTCTGACTATATAGGTTGATGTTAGTGATATTAATAAACATTGATAGTCATTGAGGGGCAAACAGCATTTGAGTGTCGAGCTGAGGCGATAACTATAAACTGGATTTATCATGTCATATTTGGAATGGTTTGGTCTGCTAAATGGAGAAGGCACAGTAGATGATTTCATTTTCTGAATTCTACATTCTGAAGAATTGGGAAGAATACGAAATAAATCTCCCTATACTATTAAAATGTTTCATTGAACCAAATTCTCTATTCACAGATCACCAAATCTCTCAGAAAGGATTCAAATGCATTGATGTAAATTAAACGAGTAAAGAGTCAGTTTACTCCTTATTCCAGTCCTGCATATGAAATATATTTATTGCTAAGAAATCTTCCATGAGTGGATTTTCAACAATCATGCAACTACATTTTTTTTCTTGATCAGGTCTCACACCAGAGGGATTGTCTATTGGTTATATTGTTCACTACTGTTTAAGAACTTGAAAGGACTTTCAAAGATGTTTTGATTCTACTCATGTTGGTTTTCTCATTGTTTTCGTATGTATTATATAATATTAGAAGAGGACAACCGCTGGAATTGTGGTCATCATTCGCATATTATAATCTATTATACATCTATCTGTGTGATTATTGTTCGGTCCTAGCATAGATAACAACGCTAACATTTTCCGTATAGGCTGTGTTACCATTATGTTTGACGCCAAATCCCTGCAGTCTAATCAGCATTTATAACATTTATCAAATTGTGACTCTTTGAAAAAGCAGAGATGTTTTGATTCTACTCATGTTGGTTTTCTCATTGTTTTCGTATGTATTATATAATATTAGAAGAGGACAACCGCTGGAATTGTGGTCATCATTCGCATATTATAATCTATTATACATCTATCTGTGTGATTATTGTTCGGTCCTAGCATAGATAACAACGCTAACATTTTCCGTATAGGCTGTGTTACCATTATGTTTGACGCCAAATCCCTGCAGTCTAATCAGCATTTATAACATTTATCAAATTGTGACTCTTTGAAAAAGCAGAGATCGAGGGAGGTTTTTCTGTTTTTGTTTCTAGTTTATTCATTTTCTTGTACAACATTTCTGAGGGTGCCAAGGTGTTCTGCTGCATCACCCCGCTGGAAGTGGGTTATTTTGGTGATTCTATACCCTGATATTTAGAAACTGTAGCTGTTCTTAGTTGAATAGTTTTGTCAGTTTTTTACATTTGGTGGAAAGCTACTTCGTTTTAAGATTTTAGCCATAACGGATGCTTCAGAAAACTTTGGTGTCTAAAATTTATGTTTATGAATTTAAGATCATCTGCTGCAATGCAGACTGAACATTAGACCATTGTGCATATGTAATAATGAAAATTGCATAATACTATAAATACTTGTGGTACTTATGGAATGTATTGACTTAAATGTTTCTGAATGCCAGGAGGATTGCAAAAGTGAAGGAGGATGAGTGTATGGTTGCTATATCAGATGTAATGTATTTGCTAATTTTGTACAAGTTTTCTGAGATCAGGGTTCATTTGGTTCCAAAGCTTTCTAGTTGTCTGTACAATAGAAGGCTAGAGATACTGCCTTCTAAGGATTGGGAACTGGAGTCTATTCACAGCATGGAGGTTTTGGATATCATAAGGCAACATGTCAGCAATGTAACAGGCTTGAAATCAAATCCTAGTGTAAGGGAAAGTTGGGCTACCACTCATATTCGACAATGCTGGCTTGCCGAAGTCTATGTCACCTCCATATTATATGGTTACTTTCTGAAATCAGTTTCATTGAGGTACACCCTAGAGCGAAGTCTTTCGTCATCAAACTATGATCTTCATCAGGCTCAGAAAACTGGCTCTTCATTTCGAGACAGATATCGATACGGGTCAAAAGATGTGATGCTTGGCAACAAGAACGATTTACAATTTGTATGGCATGATTTAATAAGGCAGGATGAGGGAATTGAGGATTTAAAAAGTTATGTTATGAACTTTCACTCTGGATCATTTCAGAGATGTTGCAACCTGAGATCTAGGGAAGCTGTGCAGTTGATAGAGAGTCATAGTAATGCACTTTTTGGAAATGGAAAATCTGGTTTGTCTCAGCATGATGATGTTATAGAAACGTCATTTTCTAGTCTGAGGAGGCTAATCTTGGAGGCTATTGCATTTGGATCCTTCCTCTGGGATACAGAAGATTTTATTGACAATCTATATAAGCTTAAAGCTCTTGAGGTAGAGTAAATGAACATGTTGCTAAGTAAATTTCCAGAGTTAGTCCAATTCTCTTTGTATATAATGTTGGTTAGATATATTTAGGCTGATTTTATTTATGCTCTACCTCTCAATAATGTATAGCTTTTATTTTTTGGTTGGTTAACTGCGAAAGAATAAAGGAGATTTTAAATGGTGACAAAGTTAAAGTTGTTCACTCTACATGGATTTACGTTTGATTTTGTGCAGTTTTTCATGATGGTTTTAAATGCAGATTTTAAAAATTGTTTTACTTGTTCATTTGGACATAATTCCAATTATATTTGAAACTATTCAGTTCCGAAATTAGCAAATTGACATACTGGTTTGAGTGAATTTGAGTTTGTTTCTCAAAATTAAAATTTCAACTTCAGCGTTCTAATTTGGAAAGATATATATATATATATATATATATATATATATATATATATATATATATATATATATATATATATATATATATAAACTAATTGTAAGTTAAAAATATTATATAGTTTTTTAGTTATGTAAATTGCAATATATTGACTCTTTGATGTGAAATAAAATATATATAATTTATTTATAAGATACAAAGTTGAATAAATACACCCATCTAATTTGGTTATTAAGAAATTAAAATATTTTATATTTATATTAATTGTAATTTATAAAAAGAATAAAAGAAAAGAAAATCTTAACATTTCATTAAGTTGGTATATATAAAAAAAATCTTATATGTCAAATTTAATAAAATATTTTGAGAATATTTTAGTTTAAATAATTTTTAGTAAGATATTAGTTAATTAGTCTTCTTACCTAATCATAAACAATTATATAATTTTTTTCTTCTAACTTTTATTGATAATGAATATATTTACTTTAATATACTTTGTTAGATCATATTGTACTCGCTTTATAAATAATATTACAAATAACGTTATTGTCACATTATAATTTAATAGGTTGTATGGATGAGTAGTAGAGATCTTATAAGATGAATATTTCTCAAACTTTCATAAATTTCAAGAATCAAATCTCTAAACTTAACTTCTACACTTAAACGATAAATTACATTTTTTTTATCTCTCGTATAACAAAATTATCACACTTTCACATAGATGATAGGTAATAAATACTTTAACTCTGAATGCTTATTTCATTCGGTAAAGAATGTAATAATAACTTCTCTCTTAAACCTTTAAAAGAAAAGACTCACTAAGAAGATAGAACAAGATGTGACTATTGAAATTTTAGACTTTATTATTTTACGAAAATATTTATCTAATAATATGATATTCTTATGTGCATAAACTCTTTTTTTAATATATTTGGATATTATCTAGTTCAAATACTTATACTCTTTTTTTAATATGTTTAGATATTATCTAGTTCAAATACTTATAGTTCTTTGGAGCATATTGGAGCATAATGCATATTTCCCTTTTTATTTAAATATGACTATTAGAGAAAAACATTTCCTTCTACGTATTATGAATAAATTTGACATATTTAAATTTTATTTATCTTCATTTGATAAGTCTTAATATTATTTAATGTAGTGTTACTTGATTTCAGTTATAATATATAATATAATTCCGTTATAGGATAATTTTTGAATTATAGTGATTACACTTTTATTCTTTGGGAGAATCTATTTGTTTTTCACGTTCTAATTTAATCAACCTATATATATATATATATATATATATATATTATATTATATTTCGAAATTCACTTACTAATATATTATTCTACAAATAAAACATAGCTAGTACAAGATTTTTAATTTTTTTCCTAAAACACATTAAATATTTCAAAACTTAATCGTTTCTATGGTTGATGTTTGCTTCTAACAAATATATACGAATAACAACCAATCCACTCCAAATTGATCTTATGTTAAAGGATATATACGAAACTATTCTAGAAGCTAACTACTACCCAATTATTTTATACATTTGATTCCCCTCTCGATAGTGAATCATTGGTCATATAAATATATTGAGTCGCATATCAATCTGGAATTGATAACATTATTAATTACTTCCAATAACCAAATATTTTTCTCGGTAATGTACATATGTAAGCAAATTGATTCTAAGCATCGAAAGTTTTGTTAGTATATAAGACTTGATATTTTATACTACTAATTTAAGTGCTTCCTTGCAAGTTTCTAATATCATACGTGGGAAAGCAAGTACTAATTTGCTTGTTCCTTGAAACTACTCTAACCAATGAGCTTCAAGCGTTTACTTGTTACATACATTACACGGAGAAATTTGAAACCTTCAAAGTCATTACTTGTAATTTTATGATATATAATTGCACATTCATCTTTGGTTTTGTTCTATACCAAGTCACTTCTTCAAATTCAATTCAACCCTCCGTTCTAATGTTGGTTCTTATTCTAAAACCTGTTACATTCGTTGTGGTAACATTATGGAGTCTACTGACCCGTTTAATCTTCAACACAATTGCTTACACAATTGTGTTGTTACTCCAAGGTCTGAAAGGATCTGGTGAAGGCTCACTTGGAGTTTTCAAACAAGTTGCAGAGGGCATCAGGGTGTGCTTCGAGTTCATCCTTCAGCTTGTAATTAACTCAACAAGTTCTATACTCTCCAAGGTGTTTGATATTCTTAAAGAGAGCATTACAGGGTCAATGGCTGCTTCAGGATCCGTGGCTGCAGAACAAGCAGAGAAGCTCAAGACTTCACTTGAAGAATCTTTCAAACAGGTGCCACAGCTGTTAGAGGGGCTCTCAAATATGACCACAGATATGGTGAAAGAGTTGTGGAACAACTACCAGGGTGCTGTGGGATATGTTAAGGAAAATACTTGAGTCTTTTTTCTACCACAAATTTTTCTAAGCTCAGTGAATCACAGACCGATCTCTCTGGTAGTCTTATGATTGTTGCAGGTTCAGTGAGTTCTCATATACTCTCTTAATATGTGAGCGCGTGATGTCAAACTACTGCACCAACCCATTTAGATTGAAACTTGAGTTTAATTTGTAGGTTTTTTATTTGATATTATTATTATTTAACAGTGACATTAGCGAACTATTGACAAGTTAATTCAAATATATATATATATATATATATTTGTTAATTCTTTGTTGAATTATGATGTGTAAAATTTTGTTCCATCGATAATGGTCGTAGTAGTTACGAGAGATATACTAGTTTTTTTTTTTTTTAATTTGGGATCAATTTTCGTATCACTTGAGCTCGACCAATGCCTATAATATTAGAGTACATTGAAAATTAGTTATAAAAATTTCTTAAAAATAAAATTTAATGTAAATTTTATAATAATTATTTAAAAGATTTACATTAAAATAGTATATATTTTTTATTGAATTGTTCCCATAAAAAAATGTTTTTACGTTTATTAATTATTTAAGAAATTAGTTAATTTTGTTATTGGTATTTTTCGAAGGATGCCAATCAAAATACAGTAAAATTGAAAAAAAAATATAATGATTTAATCACAAACGTATCTGATCGAACATTTCATGAGTATTATTTATGTACTGAGTGGAAAATCTACTTGGAAAAACACTCTTATGCTTTAATTTAGTTGTGAGAATATTAAATGTATCAGTAAATATTGTAGGATTGCAATTCAAAATGATAGTGTACGAATAAGATTATATAATTTATAGATTTTTTTACCCATTTTAGGTAATATATTATATTTGTTTAATGCTAATAATTAATTGTTTTTAATGTGCTATCAATTGTTTTATGTGTTATTATAATAATACCTATTTAAAAGGAATTAATTTAAAAGAATATTCTTGTTATAAAATCTCACTAAGTACACTGTCAAGTTTTAAAGTCTGAGAAAGGTGTATAATATTATTGTGAACTCTATTTTAATATTAAAATATGAAAAAAAATCTAAAAAAAAGCTACAGACTCATTTTTCATAAAAAAAAAGGATAAATAATGAAATAAACTTTAGTCTAACAAATTTAAATTTAATAAGTAATGTTGAAAATATTATAAAACAACTTACAATTGATCAATCTATTCAATAACTTTCTTCCAAAATGATGAAGATTGAATATAAAAAAATTAATATTTATACTTTGATCCATGATCTAAAAAATATCCACAAATTTAGAATTATTTTATCAATCAATAAATGAAATTCGTAGAGCATACATACAGTTTAGACCTTGTCAGTTTTTTATGGATGAGTATTACTCTCAGGTTTAGACAATATTTCTCATCAATTTCAAGCTAATTGGTTCAAAAGTTTTTTTTTTGTTAGAATATTCACCACAAGTAGATATTGTATTTTGTCTTTCATGTTATTTATTTTCTAGGAAGGCTACTTCATTCACCATGGGAGAATTTAGAAACTTGAAAAAAGTGAATAATGAAAAAGATTTTGTACTTTTATCTCATATTAGAAAATCCTCTAATTCTCCTCACAATATTGCTACTAAATGTGGTGAAGACTTAAGGAATCAATAATGTTAGCAAAAGGATTATCTAAGCAGACTTCATAGTAAGTTTTAATCAATCAATTGTGTCTTAAGTTTTTATTAATACTATTAAGTGGTTAATATTTCAATTTTGTGTTTATAGAGATCATGATGAAAGTTTGGAATCTAAGAATGAAGACAACTTTCTTGAAATGTTGAAACTTTTGACTTCTTACAATAAAGAAGTGAATATAGTTGTTTTGGGGAATGCTCTTCAAAATGCAAGATACATATTATCGGCTATTTAAAAAAAAAATTCTACATTTTTTTCATATAAAGGCTCAAAGTAAAATTCGTAATGAGATTAATGATGCAAATGACTATTGTTTTTATATTTGATGAATCTAAAAGAGAACAAATGACTCTTATTTTTATATTTGTTGATAAAAAGGAGTTATTAAAAAGTGTCTAATAGATGTAATACATGTAAGAGATACTATTGTAACCAATCTTAAACAAAAAATTTGTTTAGTATTGTTTCATCATAATCTCAACATTGAAAATGGTCGTGGTCAAAAATATGATGGAGTTAGTAATATGCGTGGAGAGTGGAAGAGGGTTACAAGCTCTAATTCTTCAAGAATGTCCTTATGTATATTATATATATTGTTTTGTTCATCAATTTCAAAACTTGACTAATACTATAAATGTTGTATATTCTTCTTGTAAATGCAATGATGAGTTACAAGGTGTTGATGCAAATGAAATAGCTCATTTGATTGAAATAAATGAGATTGAGATAAGGAGAGGGCTAATCAAATTGACACATTGCAAAGGTCTAGAGACATTAGATGGAGTTCTCATTTTAATTCAATATGTAACCTTTTACAAATGTTTAGTGTAACAAATATAGTTCTTAAAGATTTAGTTATTAATGGATCTATATACTCTCAAAGAGGTGATACTACTTATGTTTTTAAGTCTTTGATGTCATTTGATTTTGTGTTCATTTTACATGTGACAAAAGAAATTACAGGAATCACTGATAATTTTGTCAATTATTACAACAAAAATCTCAAGATATTATGGATGTTATGTATTTAGTTTCTAGTACAAAATCATTAATTCAAAAATTAAGAGATTGTGGTTGGGAAACACTTCTTGAAAAAATTAGCATTTTTTTTTGTGGCAAACAAGAAATTGAAGTTCTTGATATGAATGTTTCTTTTTCTGATGTAATTTGATTTGGTCGTTGAAAAGATAGAACATCATTATTTGGTCGTTGAAAAGATAGAACATAATTATCGTATTGATATATTTACTACTATGATAAATTATTAGTTGAAAGAGTTAAATAATATATTCAATGAACATACAATGGAGCTTCATATATTAAGTACATGTTTGAGTCTCCAAGATGATTACAACAAAATTTAATACTTCTAACATTTGCAAGCTAGTTGAGAAATTATATTCTTCCTATTTTTTTTACCAACAAAAATTTTAATTAATATATGAATTTCAATAGTATGAATTTGATGTGTTTAAAACTTTAAAATTTTAAAATTTATATACAATAACAGAAAGGACATTTTCAGTTATAAAAATTATTAAAATAAGACTTGATGAAGATGATTTTCTTACTCATGTAATTATTTATATTAAAAAGGAAATTATTATAAAATTTGATTCAGATTTAATATGTATTTGACTTTGTTTATATATATATATATATATATATATATAATTTTTAATAATTTTATATAATATATTTATTTTTATATATTGATCTTTATTTAAATTTTTTTATTATATTTAATAATTACTCAATGTCAAACTTATATGTTAACACCGTTTATTTCGTTAATAATAGATATTTTATTCTTCCTCAACAATAAAATAGAAAACGTCGTATATAGGTTTAATCTTAATTATGAGGATTTTATTTCACATTTTATATTTTTTTCCTAATCATGAAAGAAAAAAAATCCAAAAACAACCAAAATATGTCGTATATAATTAAAAAAATGTTAATATGTTACAACTAAATTTTTTAAATACACAAAATTTAAAATCTTATATTATATTTTAAAAATGAGTTGTAAAAAATGTTTGAAAAATAATATATATTATTAAATGATTTATGTCACACAAAATTAATTACTTTTTAATAATAATAATAATCATTAAAAAGATTAATAAAATAATTAATAATATATAAAATTTAAATAATTTTTTTATTTATACTAAATATGAGTATTTATCATATCTTACCCAGATTAAAAACATTGGTACGTTGGGTTGTACCGCTCCTTTCTTTACAACTGTTTCCTCTTGGAGCTTTTATATAATTCAAACATACCACCCCATACGACAACGTTGCAAAACTTTCTTCTCCCTTGTCAGAACAAGAAATTTTCTTCCTAGGCTCGCAATCGTAAACCCTAACTCTTACCACTCACGATAATCAATCCCCCAAATGGCAATTGCTCGCACCGGAGTCTACGTCGATGACTACTTGGAGTGTAAGCGCCTTTTATTTCTCTTCTTGTCCCATTTCATTTTTCCCCTATTTTTCTTTGAATTTATTTTTGTTGCTGAATTTTCCATTCCCACAGACGCCAGCACGTTACCAGCTGAACTTCAGAGGCTGCTCAACACTGTGCGTGAACTCGATGAACGATCCCAATGTAATTGCTTTCTAGAAATTTTATTTGTTGTTGTAGACTGTTCTGTTCATATTTATCTGTCTTCTACGATTTTTATATAGAAATCAAGAAATATTTATAAATTTTCTTTTTATTAATAAAATGTTTTACCCATTTTTTTGTCTCTACGTGTGTGTACTTAATTAAAGATTAAGTGAAGTTTAATCGTACATCACTGTATCTTTTTGGTTCTTTTAACGTTTATTAATTTAAATTTTGTTTGCGGTGTTATGGAAGCTATGATAAACCAGACCAGGCAGCAGACAAAGTACTGTATGGGGTTCCCATCACATGGCTCTAAGAAGGGTAATCACAGTTATAATAACAGTTATGGGAATGAGGACGAAGATGTTGCTTTTGAGAAAATGCGAAAAGAAATCGAGGCAAATCAAGATAGTGCATTGAGTCTATGTACTGAGAAGGTTTTGTTGGCGCGACAAGCATATGACCTGGTGAGCTTTTATTTTTATTTTTACGAATGCTGTGCGGATAACTAAAGCTTTTATGGATTGGAATTTGGAAAAGAGAATTTAATGTTTACCATATATCTTGCCAATGGAAAACCTGATACAGAATTATCAAATGATTCAATAGTGATGAGGCTTGACATCACACGGTTGAAGCAACGGACATGTGCTTTAGATTTGGTGAACAAGATGATTTTGTGTAGAATGATATCTACAGAATAGCGAAGGCCTTGATGTTAATGTGATTAGATTGATTTTGATGTATGCATGGAACATATAGTCTAGATTGTAACATTTTTACCACGAAAAGATTATGATATTATGTTTTAAGAGGTGTCCCTCACCAACATGTTAGGAGTTGCAAGGCATTAATGACAGGATTGGGCCACTTTGCTACTCGATTCATTTACATTTTACAGAAACCTTATATCCCGGCCAAATTATAACAGAGTTTAACATTTTACCAAATGAAGGCGTTCCTCAATAACTAGCAATCATAAATAGGACGTTATAGTGCCAAAAATCAGTGTAGCAGTTTGGAGCAGCCCTGGCCATTATGGGGGCTGTTGTTGCGAAGCAGTTTAGTGTGGCAAACATAGGATACCAAAGATTGGACTAAACAGATGGGATAGTAGCTCTGAGTTGATTCCAAAATTATTCGGTTAATAGACATGTTACTTTTCTAGGATTTCAATTTCCAAAAATGAAATCTCCTGTCGTAAATTGTGATAGTTGTGAAAATGATGGAGTTCCTCAGTAACTATTAAAGTACACTTAAATAGTGCACGTAGTGCTGCCATAGCATTGTAGCAGTGCGGAGCTGCCCTGGCCCCTGTCGGTCTGTCATAGCAAAGATTTACTATAGCAAACATAGCATACCAAAAAGTGGACGTAGTAGATGGTATAGCATTGCTATGTGTTGATTCCAAAAATATCCATTTTAAATAAGATGTTCTGTGTTCTTTGGGATTTCAATTTCCAAACATGCAATGTCCTGTTGTAGTAGTAAAGAAAATGAAGGGAAAGACGAGGAAACTTGTATTTGACTTTTGTTAGTAACTGTATGTTTTGTTTAAGACATCTATGTTTTTTATTACTAACTATGAATAATTTTGAGTAACTTTTTCCATTCTTGAGATTATGTATTGATGCGACAATCAAGATTTAGGTTAGAAAGTGAGTGATAAGTCCTGGATTGATTGTCACAAATTAATTTGTTGGGCTCTCATGGTGTTTCACTATTCTTTCATCTTTCCACAGTTTACCTAGGAAGAGATCATTTTTCTATGGGATCCACGTCACAAAGCACAACAATTCCCAATGTGAAAATTGATCAACACTTTAGTCTACAAGTTCCTGTAATAGAAATGTTTGTCATATCATTATTATTATTTTTTTAACTCTGAAGAGGATGGAGAGCAGAACAGAACAGAAATCAACACAATGATTAAAAGAATAATTTAACATGTATCTAGAGACTTAGTTCTGATACCAAATGATGTGATTATTGCAGGATTACAGACCATCTGGAGATATAGGTTTTGAGAATTGGTAATTCTTTTGGTATCTTTGGGTTTTATAGAAAAATATTGAGGTTACACTCAAGATTTATGTTAAAAAGTGAGTGATAAGTCATGTATTGATTGCTACAAATCAATTTGATAAAGATTGGGTAGACACAAGGGCTAAAATCCTTGGTTAAATCCAAAACTAGAGAGAAGATTTTCAAAATATTCAAGGTATTACTTAGCAAAATTCAGGTTTACCTGTTATTGTTAATTTTTTAATACATAAGCCACAAATCTGTTAAGGTTTTAATTCTAATCAATGCATAATTACTAACAATTATATTGAGATTCATAACTCCGTCAGGTGCCACTAAAATGCCAGAAGTTAATAAAATATGAAACTGAAGACAAACTTAAGGTTGGTTTGAACCCGCCAGATTAATATCACTTTGTCAACTATGATTTAAAATGAACGTAACCTCACCTGTACTCTTTATTTTTATTCACTGTTCCAGCTTTTCACTTGATACTAGAAGATGCTTTAATTTATTGGAGTTGTATAAATCTTAAACTTCTATCGCTCCTTCCCCTCAAAGATGCCTCATTCATAGAGGATGAAATCACACTGCTTCCTTCTGAATAATTCTGATTGTGTTGCATTGCATGAGGAAGGGTTCGAAATACAATTCCATTGAACAAAATAGCCCTAACAAGTTTAACATTCTGGCATCTGATGAAACCGTTATAGGTTTAGTACTTCCTCAAAAATTTGCCTTTTCTTTTTATATTAGCTTCTAAAGTTATTTCATCGAACCTAATATGTTGTATAGTACTCAAGATTTTTTCAATCTATTCTCTTGATTCCTTCTTGAACTAGAAGTTCTTAGATAATATGTGCTTGTATGTAGTTTTTATTGTTTTAATGAGATGCTATTGTAGATCCTTGTAGCTCTTCTGTAGGAATCTCCTCATTATTTTGTTATGTCTATTTACATTATATGACTGAAGACAGATAGTAATGAACAAGGTTGTACGTTTAGATTCTATATTCATGTGTACAGCGGAAAAAATTGCTTTAAATTGATTTTGATGTGCACTATACTGAACTAACTCAATGATCGCTGCACTTTTCAAGGAAACCATGTGGATTTTTTGCCTTTTGCCCTTCTTACGCATAGAAGGAATGTTGGTTTTGGTTACTCAATCGTTTTTGTATTTGCTTCAGATAGATAGCCATGTAAAACGACTAGATGAGGATTTAAACAACTTCGTTGAAGATTTAAAGCAAGGTACAATATATTCTTGTAAACTTGCATTCTGATTTATTTTGTGTCTGTATGTACAACTTCTATCTTCAAAATTAACCAGTAAAATTATTATAATAATGCAACTCTTACTGTTATATAGATTGTGGATAAAAAGTTTGCCAGTAAAATGGTCAGCTGTAAGAGTGCAATAAGCATATTTATAAAGGAAGCAGTTATGTCTTCACCCCATTACCAATGAGACAATGCCCCTGGACTAAAAGCAACAAGTTTATCTAATATTTCCCCAGAAGTACACATAAATATTTTGTTTCAGCTGATGCAAATTAGATGAATATTTTAATTTGGGGTAAAAGACTGTGGGATTGTGCATAATTGCGGGTGTTTGTGGACTTGTATAAATAGCCTGTTGGATGTAGAAAGAAAGTGCCAAACCAAATAATGGTCTTTAGGAATTTAGAGGTCTTTAAAAAAAAAAAAAAACATTTCTGCAGTGTTTGGTGTATCTAGTTGGAAACAAATGGTAGAATCTTGTTGGTCGATTGTTGCCTATTGGGTTCATTTGAGTTGCAGATGTTCACTAAGATACTTTGTGGTATTCCTCGAATGATCTTCTTTTGGGGATTGCTTTGGTAAATCTACAGAGTCTGTGGCATGCTAAGATACATTTTTGTTTCTTAAAAACAATTCACCTTGCATTCTTGGTATATTTGTTGAGGACTTCTTGACCTCTTGCATTATTATGCGCTTTTATCGAAACAAAATTGCTTTTTGCAGTGCATTATCAAGTCATGAGATTTCGTAATATTTTTTACTTCCGCTTCATTTCATTTCATTATTCTATCAGAGGGTAAAATACCACCAGATGAACCAGCAATTCTGCCCCCATTGCCTATAGTCCCTAAAGCAGAAAAGCGCAAGCCCATATATATAACTCCTCAATCGAAGAGAATTGATTACAGGGACAGAGATTGGGATAGGGAGCGTGATAGGGACTTCGAGTTAATGCCTCCACCAGGAAGTCATAAGAAAGAGTATGCTACCCCAATGGATGTTGATCAACATATTGATCCAAATGAACCTACATACTGTGTTTGTCATCAGGTTCAGATTAATTGCTCTTAATATATAACATAATTATAAAATCTCCATGTGAGCAATTATGCTATATTTTCATTTTTTTTTCGTAAAATGTTGAAATAAAAAACTGAGGCGGTTCTATTCTGATCATTCAGGTATCGTTCGGGGATATGATTGCTTGTGACAACGAAAATGTAAGTACATTTTAGTTTCTCTTTCTTGTGCTATGTATGCTTCACCTATTGTTTCCAGGGAAGTGGGTTTTGGTAGGATGTATATCTTATTTTGAATTCCCACATCAAATTAAATTACCATGCTCAAGATGCGGTGTTAGGAACCAAGAATTAAACAGAAAAAGAAAAGAAAGTTTTTTTATTGAATAGACTGAAAAGAACAAGAAATAGGAGAAGAATCTCCTCCAAGGGTTTCCCATTCACAAAGAATTTTTCCTTTTACAAAGAGCTAATGCTCAATTTACAAAGAATATCCACACCCTTCTCCTATCCTTCACACCCTATTTATATCTAAACAATCAGCCAGGTCATTTAATATTTATTTTTAAATTACTTAACATGTTACAGTTACAATCAGCCAGGTCACTTAATATTTATTTTGAAATTACTTACTTTTGTCATATTTTTTTCCTGTTTTGAGCATTTAGAGGGACTCTGAGATAGTTCAGGACATTTCTTTCTACCCCATCCCCCCTACCCCCCACGAAGACACGAAGAAAAATAAAATAAAGTTGTGGGATGGTGTTAACTCCTGAATTGCATACATTTAGTAATTCTATAAATCATATTCATGTTGTCGCAAGAAACAACCTATAGATTTCTCCTATAAGATTGTAGATGGATGTTTATATAGCTTGACTTTTCAAAGTTTTTTTTTGTTTCCCTGAATTACTGCATTTTAGTTTTATTTGTTCACTTTTCTTTTTATGATATTGTTCGTTTCCAACGATTGTCTTTTCTATTTTGTCCCATTGGTTATTTGAACTCTGAGCTTTTCTCTTTTTGGGTGATAGTGCCAAGGAGGTGAATGGTTCCACTATTCGTGTGTTGGGCTAACGCAGGAGACAAGGTTCAAGGGAAAGTGGTATTGTCCGACTTGCATATTACTCCCACAATGTCAACGATGAATCTTTTTCACGACCTAAACTACATTCATAAATGGCCATTGTTTAAAAAAAATCGTTAATTTTTAGTGAATACATAATATGTGAGTTTCGAATTATTTGTCTTCTGTATTGCTTGGTCATTTGCCTTAGGCACGGAGGCCAAGTGGGCACTCAGGCCTTGTATAAAGTCCTCTAGGATTTGAGGGAAAATGATTCTAGATTTCAATTGGAGAAAGTTAATTATGTGCGAAGTGCAGAATTATAGGTGCGTGTGGTTGTATAAGAATGAAGGTATTTGTTTACAAAATTGATATCCAAATTGTTAAAAACCAGAAAGCAACAATAGATTGCTTCACTGCAGACTTGGAAAATCATATAAAAAAACACACATGCTTAGTTTATTATGATATGAATGTATTTTAATATGAAATGATTTATGTTTGACTGATTTTATTTTAAACCTTAGTAATGAAATCTAGTATAAAGTTGTCTAAATCAATAAGTATAGATTCATAATCAAATTTGAGGTTAATGCTGGTTCTAATAAGATATACATTGGAGGTTTTATTACACTTTAAATAAGATTTGATATGTAATATTATTTGTAAGTAATTTATATTAAGTGTTTACAGTTCTACTCTAATAAATAGTTTTTATAAAATATAATATCCTTGTAATTTTTTTATTTATATTTCACTTTTTAACTTAAAAAAAATAATGTTTATGCAAAAGATTGATTATTGAAGTAGTCGAGAATGTTTAGGTAAAAGATTTTTATGAGTTTTTTTTTTTTCAATTTTCTAATAAGAACAATTTCACTTGAAAAACTTTGATACTACATTATCCATCATAATGTTGAATAAAATTAAATGTAAAAAAATATGTTTAAACGCTAGTTTAAATATTTTTATTGTTCATATATATTTGGCAATTAAGATTACAATTATAGACAATTAAGATTAGGAAAATAGAAATTCAAAATTTTAGTTTGTAAATGCCCAAATGTATTATTTTGATTTTTTTGACAGACCCAAAAATTCAGATTACGGAAAATCTTAAAATCTTTGATATCAAATTGTTATCAAAGAAAATTTTTGTGCTTTAGAGCATGATATCTCATATGTCCATTTTTCCAATGGAACTTGATCTAAGTAAGAAGTAGTTTGTCGAAAAGTGATCTCATAACAGATAATTTAACTAGAATTATTAATTATTTTATCTCACATGTTGCAAAAAAAATAAAATAACCTAAAAAGTTAATAAATAAATATAAAAATTATAATGATGAAAATTAAAAGTAAAGATATAAATATATCACTCATTAATTATTTGTCTTTTCAATTAGAGATTGTTGAATTTTTTATTGAAGTTTGCAACTATATGTTAAATGTAATATATTGACTGATTTGTGTTTCACCTAATCTCTTGAGACTCTAATGCTACAAATATTGTTGTTCCTCTATTTGTTATGATATACAAATTTTGTTAAGGTGTAATATTGTTTCAACAATTGAAAGAACCAAATCAAAGTTTTTTTTTCTCCCCTTCCACTATTGCAAATGGTAATGAAAATAAATTTTGATTTCCATCTTATGTAATAATTATCAATAAAGTTTCATGATATCTTTTAGTCAATAATGTCTCGTTAACTTGAATAGAAGACTTGCAATAATCGAATCCTTCAATAGATGGTTTAAAAAACCAAAAAAGTCTTTGAAAAATGTAACATAATGGATCTTCCACTCCATCTATAAAAGAAGAGTTACCCATATATTGAACAATTTTTTAACAGCTTGGAACCATCTAGGAAGATAGTTGTATGACTCTTCCCAATCACTAAAACCAATTACAAGTGTTTTTTGTTTTCCAGTCTAGGCTTTTTTTTTATATCTAATTGAACAATCATGACGACTTTTTATTTCTACAATCAAAGATTTTATAAGAAAAAATCATTTACTTTGACTAATTCATAAAAAATATGAACAATTTTATTTAAATCTAAATTTTGATGATCAATAGATAACACAATTGACAAGCATGTGTGATTTGCTTTAATTTTTCTACCTCCCATTGTTGTTGAATTTTACTTAGTGAAGGTGTAAGTCTCCTCTGACATTTATTCCCATAATGGATACATCAAACAACATATCTATCAAATTTTGAAACAACTACAAAATATTTATAACCTTATCTAATATGAAAATGGTTAATTACACTTATTATTGTTTCCTTTGGATGAGAAACACATTCCTTCAAAAATAATTGCATTTGAATTAGAAGATTATGTATATTGCCCACCATTTCTTATGAGTGGAGGATCTAGAGTATTGTAGTATTCATCAAAATCATAAAGAATATATAGTTAATTGGTTCTTGCTCAATAGCTCAACAACATTTGTATTATAGATTAGAAGTTGTCAAGCATGAGTGTGTCTTTGGTTGGTCTTGTAATAAGCTAAGTCACACCATGTGAGACGACTCTCGTGCATGGTCAATGGGTCAAAAATAAAGTCATGTCAGATCACACGATTTTCTCGTACACAAGTGAATTTGTGCTACCTGACAACTTCACTGTGAAGTCATGTCACCTCATACAACTTTATTATGAAGTGTCACCCTTAAAAAAAAAAATCATCTTACATAAAATGACTTTCCAGTGAAATCATGTTTGCTAGCACAACTTTTTCTTACCTAGTATTGGATTCCTTCACATGTATAGTTAAGCGATGATTGAAATGAATGTTTAGAGTCATGTTCCCTATATACATGGTTCAAGGTAACTTGTATAGGTTCAAATTTCTCATCTTGCAAAGATTCTCTCTCTTCAATCACTTCCTCAATCTTCTTATTCACTTATTCTCCTTCTCTTCTGTCATTATACTCTTTTAGTATTTTACATAGATGATATTATAATATACATATAATATTTTTTTTAATATTGTCAGTATTTATTTTTAAGTATAATAATCTATTGGTATTTTATACTATTCAAGTTTTTTTATTTTATTATCTTTACATTTTGTTTTATGATATAATATATTTATATTATATTTAGTTACTGTATAATATTGATTCTATAATATTTATTATAATATATTTATAATATAAATTTACTACGTTCTTATAATATTATTTACTTTATTTTTTATTTAGTATCATATTATTATGATATTATTTATTACATATATAGTATATATTATTTGTATATTATTATTTACTATATATTATAATATATTCTTTATGGTATAATGTTTAATATAGTAATCTTTATTGTATTACATTTATTGCATAAAATTATTTAATATATTATTTATTAGAATATTATTTACTGTGTCTTAATTAGTGTAATAATAAGTCTATTTTTTTATATAAAAATATGGTCAATCAACATCTTCCACCTAACATGTCTTCGTTAGGTTTGCAGGACAAACACATAACGAAAACATTATGGGAGGGAAATCAACAAATACTTCGTCCAAGATGCTATGCAATATGGTTAATTAAGCATTCTCACATTTTTAATGGACAAGTACTCAATCTTATGCAACAAGTGGATTTTCAACCTTTGTTAAATATTTTAAATATTGATATCAACCATCACTTAATAACGATATTAGTATAACAATGGAGAAAAGAAAACTCACACCTTTCACTTTCCCATTGAAGAAGCAATTGTCGCGTTGAAAGATGGAGAGTGTGTTATTGGTCCCAATAGTGGTGATTTAATAGGTTTTTGTGAACCTTCATTAAGGCCACTTTCACTAGAAGGAGTGAACAAAGGAAATTCGATTAAACTTTCTTTGTTAAATGTTGCCTTCCAACAACTTATTGATGACATAGACAACAATGTCACTGCTCAACATGCTCAAGAAAACATTTTATACATCATAGGAAGTTTATTGATGATATATACATCAACTTCTTAAGTTCACTTGATGTATATTTTACTTTTGTTATACCTAAGTGTTATGCCTAACTACAGTTAGAGATATTGATGAGTCATTATATTCCCATATTTTCTTATTTTAATTAGTGATTTGGGCTTAACTCGTCTGTTATTAGTGAATTTTTATTAATTAGACTTTATTGGACCAGTAATTCATATTTTAATTATTTTGAATATATTTGATCTAATTTTTACTCATTATTATTTTTAAGACAATTTAAAGCAATTTTGGGCTTGGAAGATTGAGTCAAATATTAGTTGTCCATTAGGATTAAGGTTTTTGTTTTATTTATCATTTTTTTTACAGAGCTTCTAAAATCATGATTCTGGAAGCATTATAAACTAGACACATTCAGCTTTCTAAAGGATCCAGAACCATTCAATTCGGAGCTAAATTGGATTTTACATAAATTATCAAAAAGGGGTTAAGCGCACCAGACTGGCCCAATGGACATGCTTTAGTAATTTAAGTCTCCTAAATTCACTAGACCTCTTAAAATAGTAGAAACAATGGCGTTTTAAAGCTAACTCAAACATCTTTCAAAGGAGACTAAAATTGTTGAATTTGGATAAGTATTGAAAATACTGCATGTGTTTGAAGTTCGTGGAACTGCATTAAAACCAACTTATGATGTGTTTTATGGGTCAGTTGGGCCCAAACCTAGAGGAGACACTGTCCATTAGGGTTAAGGTTATTTATGTTAGTGATCACGCAGCTGCATCAAGCAGCAACATCCTCGGAACGCCAATTTCGTCTTCTGCATTTTGTATTCAAGTTTGTTTACTCTTCTGTCATTATTTTAAATTCTTGTTTTTAATTTTAATTATGTCTCTTCTTCTGCGTTTCAATTTTTTCATGGATAGCTAAATCTTTGTATTGATTTTTTTAGGAGAATGTAGCGGATCTTTGAGGTTTCGTTTGTTATCTTAACTCTTCATCTCCTAATCTTAGTATTGAATTATAATCTGTTTATGCTTAATGAACCGAAACCAATATCACAGTTGCTTAATTCTGTGTTAGAGATGAGATTATATGATGTATGCAATGTTTAATTGTATAAGGATAATTTAGATT